ACCATGGGCTCCTGACGTCACTGATGACAGTACTGTGATTCTCATACTTTCTCCACAGGCTAATCGGCTCCTGCTCCAATGATGAATAACGATTTAAAAAATATCATTTGTGTTTGCCATGTTTAATTAACGTATAAAAAAAATGTTGTAGTTAATTTTTTATCTCAGGTAATTTTTATTTTTCCTTTGTTTCAACCTCATTAGCATACATTACCATATCCAAAAAACAAAAGACAAACAAAAAATTACAAGAGGTAAAAAATTAACTATAACATATACGCCTCCTAGTACATGTTCTTGTAACAAAGTAAAAACAGTCTTCCTCACCCATCCCCCCTTTTTTACGGACTTTCAGTTGCTGTTAAAATTAAAAGGAAGCAATTGTTTTTACGCCAGAATTCCAGAGTAAATTTTAAAAAGCAAACAGTTTAGATTGATTTTTAGACTGTTTCACGGCGTATGCGCTCAATTCAGAAAAGTGAGACTCGATCTGAATCTCCGACGACGTTTTCCTGTTCTGAATCCAGTCCGGAGTTAAAATTTTACTTTGGTCCTACGAACAAATTAAATGAAGACATGTCGTTCATGTCTTTCAGTAGAAAGGGTCTTAGAGTTTTTAAAAGGTCAAACAACTTCCCGTATCAAAGGCCACTATTTCACAATATTTTCATATCTAGCAATGCATCAGTCAATTCCACCTGCGCCCAGCCCCCCCCCGGGCTGACCCCCGGGCATTAGCATTTTTTTTGCCTTGGATGGCAAATTCCCGGGGGTGGGTACTCTTGAGCTGTCAAATCCCCCGGGGTGGGGACGAAAAAAGAGGGCCAATGCCCCCGTCCTCCGTCAACACTTCAACATTTTTCATTGTGATCGCACAGTCAAATAGTGCCATTTTAAGCATTTTAATGTGCGATTTTTTGTTTCAATTAACGTCTTTCTTTGTAATAGCGCGAGGATTCTAATTAAGACTTCACGCCGCGACGACATGCACCAGATTATGGTTTTAGTATTGATATAGAATTATTGACATTAAAATTAATAGAGCGCTGTAAAGTTATATGTTATGAATAGTTTTATAAATATGAAAGGATGTTCTTCAAATAATATCAACAGAAACAAGATTCAATAACCAAAAAACGTTGATTCACATCGATAGCTCCAATTTCGCTAAGTAATTCTGGCTTGAAAAGCAATGAAGAAATGCGTGCATACATGTAAAATCGAGAACATGCCTTTACAACCCTCTACAATGTATTCCTGTCATTGACAGATGAGCCAATCTGCGTTTTTTCCATTAAAACCTTCTTTGTAGTTATATTCTGATGTAGGAAACCGCGTGCGTGTCAAAAGCTCGGGAATGGCCCGGGGGTTGGCAAATGCCCGGCCCCCGGACAGTGCAAAATTGGCAAATGCCCCACCCCCGGGACTGACAAGGCGGGCAAATGCCCCACAGTTGCCCGGGGGGGGGGCCTGGGCGCAGGCGGAATTGACTGATGCATAAGTGCGCTATACAGGTTGAAAGCCAATAGCTATTGTAGTTTCCAACAAAATTGTTACGGGCGAGCAAAAGCAAGCTTAGTTATCGGCGGCACTTATCATGTTTATAGGATCATACAGCGAAAAAGCTGGAAGTTTACGTAAAAAGAAACTTTCCATTGTTGACATAATCCACAAGCAACAGGCGTCTGATGACGTTAAACTTTGTACCTGCCAGATTCGCACGTGTGCAGGCGAAGGGGAGCACATGTTCGCCTCGGGAGATTGGTTGTGTGGAGGAACAGCCAACGTCAAAGAGTCGAGAGTGTACCAGGTTTTAGAAAATCTTTACTTCACGACTGATTGTTGTGAAAATCCGAATCAGTGAAGTATTCACTTTAATTGCCAATCCTACACTATTTCCTTCTGTTGCAGTTCTGTTCAACACACGTAAACGCTAACTTTTGGTATTTATTTTGATTCTCGTCTTCTCTTCTTTGATTAAAGAATCCCGTGTTTTTTGGTTTCATTTTTGACTTCACATTTAATGTTTGATTACCGAAATTTGTCCCTTTTCTAAAATGGCACTTTTGATTTCAAATGCTTACTGAATACAGGGCTGGAAGTTGGGAATGCAAAGTACCAGAGGTTGGGAAATCCCCATGAACAAGAATTCCGTAGTTTCCTCAGTGAGGTACTTCCTAATTTTAGAAATGTTCCTTAAGTGGTAGTACGACGTTTTGCAGATCTTATTTACATGTTCCACCATATTACAGCATTCATCAAATATGACACCGAGATTCCTAGCTGAAGATTTGGGGAGTATTTGTTCATCACCAACTGACACATATGAAATGGCAGGCTTTGGGCGGAATTTTGAACTAATTACAATCAGTTCAGTTTTCTCCTGATTGAGCTTTAGCATGTTGTTTGTCATCCACCAGTCAATATCTTTGACACATAGCTCAACAGATGACTTAGCTTGAGCGAGGTCAGCAAAGCAGTTAGTTTTAAAAGAAATGTAAAGTTGAGAATCATCAGCATACAAATGGTACTGTAGATTATGAAGATTGATAATATCAGCAATCGGAGATGTATATAATGAATACTGCAATTGAGAGTACGCGAATTTAGCGCTGTAGCCGTATGTGGCGTTGCGAGATCCTGTGGTGTTGCAGGTTTCTAGTCGTCCTTCCTCAGTTGCAACGTTCTGAAGCAGCCGTAGGACAATTTAAACTCGTTTAGACAGACACAATTTCACATGAAAGTTTCGTTTGGAAGTGGACTGGTATCACTCCCCCCCCTCCCCTTAACAAAACCACGCTGGATCCGTCCTTGCTTCGGTTTTCCCTTCTCCTTAGTAACCAACATGTCCAAATTCCAATTCGATGTAGAAAGTGTCTCCAATTAACTGGGGACAGTTAAGAGGGCCTCAGGTCTACCAGTTTCTGTAACTGTCAAATGTCACCCTCTTTAAATACAGTTTGTTTTTGTTTATTTGAGAAATTTCCAAACAGTCATCATTCTCGATTTGTCTTTTATTTGTTAATTTTGTTAGCTTCGCCAAAGGAGACAAACAAAGCAAAGAACATTCAAGGCAGCGAAATTAAAATATGGAAGGAGAAAAAAATAAAAATAATAAAAGAGAGAATGAAGAGGGTTGACAGAGACAGAGACACCGCAACAGCTGAGGCAGCCAACTACAGCGGAGGGGTTTAATCACCCTGTGTATGACGGAAGGATCTTGGATTTCGATTGGGGTTCACCTGTTAATGGTCATCTCCTACGTTAGCAAACGCGGAGGATCTAGACTGCGAGCAGTCTCTTATTTTTCTTTGCAAAGTTACTGCACGAGAAATCCAAGCACGCGAGCGGCGACGCGGCAAGCCGCAATAAACGAGGGCGTTGGCCTTTATCCCTTATTGTAACATAACGTCGTGGTTTGCAATCGCGAGGAGAGGGGGGTGCATAGGCCTCCAACCTCTCCCACCCGATCTACATCGACCTTTGCTTCTTCTGTCCCATAAGCATTTTGCTGAAGGAAGGACAGTTTGATTTACTAAGGAACGAGGCCAGGCCGACATGTTACTGGTCTAACGGAACTTTAATAACATCATTTTAAAAACCAAGGCTACGTACAAAGACAAAACAGGAAACCTGAAAATGTGTCAGCCAGTATATGTACAAAAAATTCTAAGATGACGCTTACTGTAAATCAGTGAAAGCATGATCACATTAAGCTAATAACACGCCTATAGCAAAAATTTCTTAATGTATATATCATATGTAGTAGTGTATGCGTACCTTACGAGCAGTTGTTTAACCACCGCTCGCAGGGTACTGTGTAAATGGCTATCTAAATTGATCATATATGTCTATGATCAATTTGTGACACTGTCGCCATTATGGAATACTTTACAGAGTTAATAGTAAAGCGTCATTTATATATGAACTGTTTTAGTTTGTTTAAATACACATTGCTAATGTGACGTTGCTATGTTTACGCAATACTATATAAAGCCACCGTGTCCTAAAAAACAATTTTCCGTAGTGTTAGTTATATTTCGGAGAATGTTGATCAATCCCAAATTGTACTATGTAAAGCTATAATATATCACATGTAGCTATACTGTATGTACAACTATCTCAAATAAATAAATACAGTGTATATCAATTTAACCCAGTCTCCACAATCGCATTGCTGGAGATTTTTAGTTACGCGTTTTCCTAATGAACCTTTTAACTTTTGAAATCACAACCTGTTCAAGTACACTATAAAGACATAGTAGTGTCCAAAAACAATTTCGCTTTACCTAAAACTGAAAGTATTATGAAAGTAATACAACAGAAAATCGAAGGGCTGTGAGATTGCTTTGAAGTTACCTGATCACTGTGAAGCTTTGCAGAAAAAGAAAAAAAAACAACTTCTTTTTAAGTCTCCAGAAACGCCACTGAATCCAGACTAAAATCAGCGCTATTCAGGGAAAAACCAACACATGTTTAAATAGATTAGATAAGCGTACATAACAGAATATTGTCATTAGTTTTAAGATACTTTTAGCTTCCTGGGTTATATTTTTACTAAAGAGGTTTGGGTAGTATAGCGAGATGCAAAATCCTCGAGAGATACCAGATGACTGATGAAGGAGTTAAACGCTTCACTGCAGTCCTCACATACACTAAGCTGAAACCTCCATAGTACTAATGAAGATACTAATGAAGGAATTAAACATTTAAATACTGCATCCCGCTAAACTAACCAAACATTAAAATGTTTTTCGTTCGCAAAAACCCTGATTGTGTTGGTTGCCATGTAACAACTTCGCAATCTCAATACATCCTAGCGACTCGGAAGGTTGTTGAAGCTTAAATTAAAATCCAAAATTCCTTCAACAGAGAAACATTTACATTGCATACAAGGATTAGAAAATTACTTTACAGTTTATGTTCATTGAGTTTAGGAGATTTATACCTTTATCAGTTATGTTGTTTTCCTCGAGGTTTAAGCTGTTTAGTTTGCAGTTTGTGTGAGTGAGTGCTGTAGATAAATGTTTAACAGCTTCATCAGTTATGTTGCTTTCCTTGAGGCCTAAGCTGTTTAGTTTGCAGTTAGTGTGTGTGAAAGCTGTGGATAAATGTTTTACTCCTTCATCAGTTGTGTTGTTATGCGCGAGGTCTAAGCTGTTTAGTTTGCAGTTAGTGTGTGTGAGTGCTGTAGATAAATGTTTAACAGCTTCATCAGTTATGTTGTTATTCTTGAGGTTTAAGCTGTTTAGTTTGCAGTTAGTGTGTGTGAGTGCTGTAGATAAATGTTTAACAGCTTCATCAGTTATGTTGTTATTCTTGAGATCTAAGCTGTTTAGTTTGCAGTTAGTGTGTGTGAGTGCTGTGGATAAATGTTTTACTCCTTCGTCAGTTATCTTGTTACTCCGGAGGTATAAGCCGTTTAGTTTGCAGTTAGTGTGTGTGAGTGCTGTAGATAAATGTTTAACCCCTTCATCAGTTATGTTGTTAAAGCTGAGGTTTAAGCTGTTTAGCTTGCAGTTAGTGTGTGTGAGTGCTGTAGATAAATGTTTAACTGCTTCATCAGTTATGTTATTATTATATAGGACTAAGCTGTTCAGGTTGCAGTTAGTGTCTGTGAGTGCCGTAGATAAATCTTTAACTGCTTCATCAGTTATGTTGTTAATCATGAGGTTTAATCTTCTTAGTTCACAAAAACCCTGATTGTGTTGGTTGCCAGGTAACAACTTCGCAATCTCAATACATCCTAGCGACTGAAGGTTGTTGCGGCCTAAATATAATTCCAAAATTCCTTCAACAGATTTAAGTGCATGCACTAATGCGAAACAGTCGAGAGGTGACAGGTTACACGAACTAAAATTAAGCGCATTACAACCAATTTTCGCCAGTTTCTTTTGAACTTCTCGATCAGAGGCATTGTTCTCATACATGCAATTGAATAGCGTCACCACTAAATCCCTGTCTTCCTCAGCTGGCCACCAGGTCTGTGTTTCAGTTTGTTCCTCTGAATCTTCATTCATTTCGATTTCAACTTCTTTAGTAGAAGTTTCTGAGGGAAGAAGGTCGCTGAAAATATCTGTTGATTGTTCTTCTTTTTCAGCCAGCAGTCCAGCCATAAACTGCATCACAACCTTCCACGCGCCATCCTCGATGTGAGCGGCAACAAAACCCCGCAGTTGTTCGGAACTCAACGTGTCCACCAAATACTTCGCTGCCAAGAACTCCTGTAAGGTCAGGTGTAAAAAGCAATATTGCGCTCTTCCCTCTGCTAAAGGACGGTCTCTAAAATCAGGTAAACGGTGAAACAGGCCATTACTCTCTAGGTCGTTAACTTCGTGTGATTCAAAAATTAGTCTTCCGTTTTTAATTCCGTCAAAAGCAATTTTTCCCAGTCGTGTGAACACATTTTGCACAGAGGAAGGCAGTTCCTTAAACGGCTTAAGAAAATACTGTTGACCTTCAGTTTTATTGTGGCGATATTGATCATCATCGTAGCTAAAGTAAAACATCCTTACTGCAATTGAGTATATTTCTGTCAGTCTCGTCGGGAGGCTGGTAAAGCCAGTGTTACCAAGCAACTCTAACAAGCAACTACAAATGATAAAGCAATTAACAGGAACGTAGCAGAAGGCTACAAGGTTTAAGTTACTGGTGATGTGTTGCTTTATGGTTTCCGCTTTGTCCGCCTCCTTTGTAAACTTCTCTACATAATTATTTACTTGCTCAGTTGAGAATCCCAGAATTTCAACTGTTTTGTCGAAGTGAAGACTTGTGATACATGACACGGCATTGGGTCTTGTAGTCGTTAGGATTGTCGCACCGGTAAGAATTTTTCCCTCTACTATTTTCTTCATAAGGAAATAAACAGGCATCCTGTCCTCTTCACTGTTTCTGTACGGAATGTCATCTTTATTTATTTTAGTCCTACCAGAATATTCGTCAAATCCATCAAAAATCAACAGTACTCGCTCTGGGTTGTGGCGGATGTAGTTCCAGAGCTCTTCGGAAAGAGCGGTTGAATACTCTGAGTGATCCAGAATCTCGCGAAGATTTAGTTCTTGGTTTCTAGAGTTAAACATTCTCAGCTTAAAAAGAAAGGCAACTTTAAAATCGACTTGCGATTTTTGTGTTTCGTTGAAAAGGTTATCGGACGCCCAGTTGCGAAGAATCTTTGTGCTAAACATGGTTTTTCCAATTCCAGGACGACCGACAACAAGAATCTTCCGCTCTTTAGCATTGAAAATATCTCCTGGCAGTGTTGGTCGTAACCTTTTACTGGCTTTGTGGTACTCGTTTAGCTGTTTCGCTCTGTCTCCTGAAAAGTCATACTTCGCTCTCCCATCATAAACAATCAAATTGGTGAAGATTTCGTCAAGTTTTAGATCTCTTCTAGGTCCTTCGCCTGGATTATGAAAAGGTGATTTGAGGTCTCTGTAAGGTTTGTCAGTGACATCTCGGACATGTTTCTTCATACGTTCGATGAAAGGAGCGACTAAGGTTTCATCATAGTGGGTGATTAACTCTTGTGGTTGCAGTCCTGAAGAAAAAACACTCATTAGTTTGATAACAAAATTGATATTTTATGGATTCACTGATGACGTATAAAACGATAATAATAATAATAATAATAATATTTTCACCACTGTCTAAAATATGCATGTCAAATGTCAAAATATCACTACGGTAAATCCTCCTTCTTTGAGATGTGGTGGTGGGGGCGGGGCGCTAAATTAATTTAGAAAAGACGATAGTGTCAGCTCTCCATAGAGAGCTACAACACTAAATGGAAAAGCTCAAGTACAAGAAGGTTTAAGGTCATGCACGGAGGATCAGAATCAAATCCAAACTTCCAGTTGGTATGAAACCATCCATCCTAATTAGTAAAGAATAATTAGGGGAGGGAGCGGGGGATTATAAGAGGGAGGGGGGTTATTTGAGAAGAGGGGGGCTTAATAGAGGATTTACGGTATAATCCGGTCTATCATGATAGCTTCTAAATATTGCAAACTTCTAATGCTTCTTGTTATTTTACAGAAATGTATCACATTCACTATACTACTTGAATCTCAACTTAAACAACTTGAACAAGTGGTGAGTGTTGGACAGCTGAATTTGGGATGGCATACACCAGTACATAAGCTACATGTACCATGTAGCTTATCTGTTACTGTACTATGGAACGAACCCAACAATAGATTCAATAAATCAGATGCCAAGATGTGGCAGCACTTTATGATAGCATGATTACCTTGATAATGAGGCCATGAATGGAAAACACGGGGTTCATTCAACATGTGTGCAACAAGAGATGCTGCCATCACACTGGCATAGGAAGACCAACTCTCTGAAGCTAACTGAGAACCATCTGCATAATCAGCTATTCCTTTCACAATTAACCACTCAATACCACAATCAACTGCTGCTGTAAATACTCCTATAGGAAAACAAAACAAACAGTACATGAGTTTTAAAACAGTCCTGTGTACATGCGCAAAAAAATTTGTGTGGAGCTCAGAGACATCATGCAGCTGCTATTGCTTATGTGCACCTCTGAAAACTTACCAACAGAATTAAACTACCGTAAAATTCCAAAAATAAGCCCCGGGGCTTATATTTTTCAAAGGCCCTCTTTGAGGGGCTCATTTTTGGAGGGACTTATATTCGGAGAGGCTTATCTATGGGGGGAAATTTGCGTTTCAAAATCGATTGGGCTAGCCTTGTAGTTGGAAGTAAATTCTCCGTTTTTGCTTTGTTTTACTTTGTATTTGAGTGCAATTTTCCAAGTACAAGCTCCCGGGGGGGCTTATATTTGGAGGGGCCATTTAATGGAGGGTTTTTTGCGTTACCGGTTTGGGGGGGCTTATATTTGGAGGGGCTTATACATGGAGGGGCTTATTTTCGGAATTTTACAGTATTTACCTAAGCATCAAGTTAAGGTAAAGTTATTATTAATGTTTATGGAGTTTTGAGGGTACATGCATACTCCTATTCTATGAGAAGTTTACTTAAAGAAACATGAGGCAAGGTGGGCTAGAGTGGCGTTTTTCCATACAAATCTCTTTAATCAAAATCAGTTTACAAGTAAATCAATCAAAACTACGCAGAATATAAACCGACAACTGTACAACTTAACCATGACATATACATGGAATGTGTCTTTCCAGAAAATATCCATAACTTTCCCATGGATAATCAATGGAATTTCCGTGGGGGAGGGGGAGGGAGATTAAAATGCCAAAAATTCCAAAGGGTAGGGGATGTTTATATGGAATATTTTTTCCAGAGGGTCATGAAAGACTTGCAATAATCTTATATGTACAGCGTACTTATGTATAATAAAAATTATGTTGTAAGGACAAACAAAAACAACAGTCAACTTACCTTCTCCTTCATTTTCCATTGCTATTGCCTGATGATTGGTTTCAGCAAGTTGATCACGTCGCTGTCCAGAAATGACTTGTTCTGGTCCACTCAGAAACTCAGCAGCAGTATGAACTTGAACTTGTTGAGCATCAGCAACATTCTTCAAAGGTGCTTTCCAGCCATCAGCACAATTCTTAATGACATTCAGGAAACGTTTGCTCACATAATTTCTCATGCCAGTTGAATGTTCTTGATTATTGATCACCACTTTGGATGCATATGTTGTTAATTTGGCAGAAACAACAACATCTCCTAACTTGGATTTCTCAGGGTGAAGACCACTACATACACCAACAGATATGACTGCTTTAGGCCTAAGCAGAGTGGCAGCATTCTTAACAGAGACGAGAGAACCACCAGGACAACTACTGTTCTCGTAACATTTAAATAATGCAACTTTAACTTTATCTTGACTTCCATCCACATCACAAAAGTAAACGTAGCCAAGACCATCAAACCAACATCTATAGGGGTTTTTTAGCTCACTGAAACAAGCTACAAATTCACAATTCTTCACTGTCAGTAACAAAACATCAACAGGAAGATCAGCATGTTTTGAAGGTCTGGTTATTGCCTTAATATCAGCCAAGGATGGGAGAACTTTATTGAGCTCTGGAGGGTGACTAATGCACTCTTTTAGAGTCCTTTCTTTTCTTTCTCTCTTTCTTTTCTTCTTTCTCTTTCTTTTCGATGTAGTTCTTTGGTTCTTTGTGTTGCTTGCAGTATTCTTTGATGAACTAGACAGGACACCAGTGGTAATCTGGTGAGTGTTGCGATCACTGCCCTCTGAACTGTTAGGTGTATCCTCTGAAGATTTTACAATTTTGGATTCTGATCAGAGGAAAAAAAAATAAAAATGAGTTAATACAGTTGACTCCCGATAACTCGAACCCTCGCTAACCCGAACCTCGCGGTAACTTGAACCAAAATCGATTTCCCCTGGATTTCCGTCATACATTCACTGTAATTTTACCCTCGGTAACTCGAACCCTCGATAACTCGAACTCCTGCTAACTTGAACGAATTTTCGTTTCCCCTCAGGTCATTTTCTATATAACTTTACCCTCGATAACTCAAACCATGTTTTGAGCCCTTAAAAAGTCGGGAAAGAAAAATTGAATTTTGGATTTCGTATTGATGTGTTGTAGGAGTATAGTTTACTAGTGGACTGATGTTGATTGTCACAGGCTAACGTGAAGCAGCTTTTCTTCTCAAAACAGTAAAACACATGCTCTATTTAGGCTATGTTTTGTTACGTTACGTTCTGATTTATAATCTAGAAGTACCTTTTAATTTTCACTTGACATTTCTACGATTAAATGTGATTAAAATGTTCACTGTGCAGTAAAAACTGTGTTTTACTTTACTCTCAGCTATTTTCTTCGAACTCCCGATAACTCGAACTCCCGTTAACTCGAACCTTTTTTCGATTTCCCTTGAAGGTTTGAGTTATCAGGAGTCGACTGTAATAATACCGTAAACTGCCGCTTATAAGCCCTGGGCTTACACAAGTTCGTAAGGGGTTTTGGGTGGGCTTATAAATGGGAGGGCTTATATCCGGATGGGCTTATAAGCGGATGAAAAAAAACGTTTCGAAATGAGCAACAGCACTATTGATCGACGTATGATTTAAATTCATTACTCTTACAATAAAACGGCAGCAATAAATCGAATTCAGTTAAATTTCAAAACAAAATCAAAACTGTAACTGGGGCTTATATCCGGATGGGCTTATAATCCGATGTATTTTTTTGGTTTGCATGTAGGTGGGCCTATAAGCGGGGGGGGCTTATAAGCGGATGAGCTTACAAGCAGCAGTTTACGGTATTATAATAACAATGTATTGTGTGAGTGGTTCAGTTAAAACACGCCCATGCTGAAAGGCAGTTACAAATAAACCACCCCCATCCTTGTATGTATTACCCAAACAAAATTTGCCCCTCCTCCCAGGGTCTTCCAAGTTCTAACACCACCCCCCCATGCTCCACAACCCCCAAAAAGATGGTATGATTAAAGTTGGTCTTCTTTCTCAGCCTTACGTACAGAGATCACATTTCCACTCACAACTATATAAGTGAACTTATTTTCTAACAACAAACATTACCTTCTTCATCTGAGTCTTCAGCCACATCTCTCTTTCTCTTTATTGCTTGCATGACAGTAGGCTGATTTGACTTCACACAAACTGGAAGCAAAGTAATTATGATCAGTAGTACATTTGTCACAACCATAAGAAAAAATACCGAAGCCGAAAAGGGACAATCCAAAAATATTTTGCAAATCCCAAAATCATTATCGAAAAGTTTGACAAATCTAAAAAACTATTCCAAATCCTATGAAAATTAGTGGATCCACAAATAACTTTCTCAATAATCCAAAATTATTTTGCAAATCCATAAAAATTATTTCAAATCGCAATTTTTGTACAAATCATTATTGAAGAGTCTGGCAAATCTAAAAAAACATTGCAAATCTTAAGAAACTTATTGGATCCGCTAATAACTTTTTATAAAACTCTAAAACAGTTTACAGTCCAAGAATCATCGTGAAATCCAAACAAAATATTTTGGAAATCGAAAAAAAAGTTTTCAGAATGTTTCATTGTTGCCAAATTCTCTTTCACATTTATGACAGAACATCGTACTTGATATTTCTAACCTCTTTCTTTCGCCAGCTTGGATGTGGGAAATGGCAGGAAAACGTTGGAATGATGCTGGCTGACTGCTGGCACAAGTAGCATGTGAAAAAACTTTTTTCTCGATTTCCAAAATATTTTTTTTGGATTTCACGACGATTCTTGGACTGGGTGAGTGTGGGCTCATTTTCCCGAACAGCGGCTGGTAATCGAGCTTAATAATCATGTTATGCCACAGATTTGAGCTCAGATTTGTGAAAAGCCCATGCATGTTCAATATACTAAAATGACTTCAAGCAGCCTGCATCACAAACCTAATTTAACTTCAGTTAGTAATATCTGTGAAGCAGCACCAATATCCTTACTCTGGCTCCCAAGGGACTCAATGAATTACCGGAGGAATGTTTTCGAAATTCCTTTCATCTTATTTGGCAAATCAACAATGGCATTTTTAACAAGCCAATCATGGCTCGTACTCAAATCCTGGTACGTACACAGCTGGGGGTCAGGAACAAGGAATTCAGCGCTGTTTCGCAGATGGACTTAACCAGAGTTTAGTTTTGTCTGTGGCGCAGGCTAGACTTCAAGACGTTTGGGTCAAAATTGCATCACCACTCTATTTATTTACACAAAATTTAAACTACTGTTATTCTTCACAGTGATCAGTTATATAAATTATTCAGAAATAACAACACTAATGTTCTAATTATTCATTGTACAATAGTCGGGAACATAATGGCGTTTGAGCGAGTGACCTCCAGACCATAAAGGAATCAGGCTAGTGCAAGAGTTCTCTTGTATCTCTGCAATTTTTTATTACAGTAGAGGTAAATTAGTAGGAGTTTACAATATCCAATGGAATAACATCTTATAATTATACAACTAGTATATTCAGATTCAGCAGGGAAAACTTATTGTTTAGAAAAAAAGTAAACTTTATTCTCATAGAGACATTTATAGTATCATCATTATCTTGCAATGTCCTCTGCTACTGTATATGTATATAAATTCCACAAACATAATTCCACAAGTCCAAAAAAAGAAAAAAAGGATGTTTGTGATTGGAAAGAATGTTTTACCTTGTCTGGGCTGAAGGCTGACATAGTGTAACTCGTGAATGTGTCCCAACACAAGGGGGGTGGTATTGGCAGGAGCATAATCTGGCTGGACAACTATCTCACGGTCGAGACTGCTGATAATACGGATGGAAGTTTGAAAGTGATTTGCTGCAGCAAACAAAACCACATGATCGCCCCAAGTACCGTCTTTCGCCATGCTTTGTAAGTATTCACGCCAAGATGGGTATCCAGAGACAAAGTTAAACAGAGATGTTCCTTCGTGCTAAAAAACAAAAACAATGAAGCAAGTGAATTTCATTTTTTTCTACTAGGCTCCATAGACGTGGAGTGATTTTAATCTGCTAGAAAGATTATTTAAAGTTTATTTAAAAGTGAGTGGTTGGCTAGGGTAGCCTTTAAAACCACTTATTATTCATTCAAAATATTTTCCCAATTCTGATTGGCTAAAAGCACACGCATATTTCACCATAACCAGTTAATGATGACCAAATTTGGAAGAATTTTGTGCTTAACGAGGAAATGACATCAAAAATGCAGCCCACTGCAGGTTAATGCACTGTTAACTGAGAAGACCTGGGGACCACTGGTTGAGTTGTTTTGGTTGTGAAAAAAAAAAGGGCGGACATTTCACTCATTTCAAGAGTAAGAAAGTCTACAGCTGGAACTAGGCGAAATAATAGCTAAAAACATGGCAAAAACAACAAGAAGACAACTTGGAGGGCGACATCTGCTATTTGGAGAATATTTGCAGGGCTAGGACAAACCTAAACGTACACTATCGAAGATGAACTTAACATTGATGCAGGTAAGCATATTTTAGCTATTTTTTTGAAACTAAGAATTATTTTGAATGGATGGTGTTATCCACCTCAGCCGATAACACCCTCCTCGATCTGCTTAATTCTTCATATCCTAATCAGCCTCATTCATTAATTGCTAATTTCTTGAAGGCACAAGGGTTTGCTGGGAGGCGAATTTCAAATAAAACAAGAATCGCCAAAAAGGGGATTTTAACTGGGCTGCCAAGGAGTGACCTTTTCTAAGGGGAGGGGGTGGTTGCACACACTCAGGCTACCATAAAACCTTGTCACTGACCATTGCCTGACATAGAATCTCATGTGCAAGTGAAACATAAACTCATTTGAACACTGTACCCTTTTGGTAGACTTTTGTAACAAGAAAAATGAGTACCATTTTTTCAGTGTTGCGGCCATATAGACCATTAACAATAAAAATAAGCAAGTTAGCCACTCTAAGCAGGAACGGATTAGCACCCCTCCCTCAATCCCTCTGCCCCCCAGAATATGGCATGAGAGTATAACATTACTAAGCAGTACGTTTCTCAATTCTCGTTCTTAAAACTAACAAAGGAAATTAAAATTCAAGCGCCTCTAAGTCTGTGACAGTTTCGGTGGCACTTTCATCTCTCTTCGTTGCTTTAACGTACATGGTTTGATTGATGTATTGATTGCTATTTAATCAAGACTAAGAGCACTGCACCAATCAGAAGATGCATTCGTGGGAGAATGCAGTTTTTCAAAATCCTGGGGTTTGCTGACAAGCGTTTCCTTCTTCCTTCCAGAAAAAAACTGTTAACAAAGCCGGAAAAGTTTCAGAAGTCATGCAAACTTAACAAACATGGAGATCTAAAATGTAAGCTTGGAGTTGTGTACTAGGCAATGTCTGCAAAGGTGTGGAAAGTGAAAGTCGTGCATCGCATATCAGCAAGAAAAATTTATCATACCTTTGACAGATCCACCTTAAAAATTCATCGGAGATTGTTGTTTCTCGTAGCCGTACTAAAGCTTGCAATTTTTCCAGCTTCTTAAACATAATATTTTTGTTGTGAAGCTTTCCTCAATAAACTTTCCCCTTTGAGCACCGTACCCAACTATGGTGATTGATGAGGAAAACTACGTCATGTAAGAAAACACTACAGCCACCCGGCTGCTCCTCTTCGCTGATTGGCCAGAAATTTTTTTTCTTGCCAATCAGAGGCAGGCAGTTCAAATGCTTCTGGAACTGGTTCGGTAAGAGTAAGTGCCCAGGGCTCTTCTCGATCTTATAGTAAACTTTCACCACAGACATTCTATTGTCCCGACTAGCTGCCCCTGGGTCTCCGAGGATGTGGCTTTGCTATTACTAAGTTAATAATTGATAGTCTACATTTTTCGACATCGAAAATCCCTGGGGGTATTCCCTTATAACTATTGCTCCGAAATAGTGCCAAGATTTGGAGAATTGGACAGCACACCCCCACTACAACTTCCCAGAAATACCCCCTGGGAAGAAAATGAAAGGTATTTTATAAACTGGGCCCGCCTTGAGGCAGCCCTGTAAATGAATTATTTTGATTCTCTCCAAATTTTGGAAGTGGTTTTAGGAGGGAAATGATACTGTTAACTGTCAAGGCCACCTGTAACCTTAGATGGCAACAGAAGGCGACTATTTCAAGTCATGATGTATAATTTGTGTGATGTCACCAAGACAAGTGACAAGTGGTTGTTATTACCCTCCAAGTTTCACTTTCAAAGCTTAAGTATTTCAGACTAAATACGAAGAGGTGGGTGATTTCAAAGAAGATCGAGAGTGCCTAGTCTTGATCCCATAATACTACAGTTCATTAACTTTTGTTATGTTCAATCCTTGTTTTTATCCAATATAGTTTACCAAAGAATCGTCAAACTGAGTTAAGGGAAATGATTATAATTGATTATGATTATTATTGATTAATTTAATATTATTATTATTAAATGATTATCATATGGGAGGAATCCGCCAAACAGACATGGAAGGCCCGTTAGTTAGGCTAGTCATCAACTTACCAGATTAGGGTTCTCATCGAGGAACTGAACCAAGGTTTTTCTTAGCTCTTTGTGTGAGATTTGAATTCCTCTGACACTTGGTAATTGTTCTGATAATGCATGGAATAAACAGTTCCCGGATGCTTGGTTATCAGAAACAAAGAATCCTTTGTTGGCAGCAATCGTTCTCAGATCAGATGGTAGGTTGGTTTTCTTGCTAAGCTGTTCTGCATCACATCGTAAATTTTGTAAAGACGGAAAAACATTCCAGCCTGAGAAAAAAAGAACACACGGAAAAAAAATGCGTACTTATAATCACATTTTCCATTGTTTGGTAGGGGTGTAGTGGTCATGGATATTAATACGTTTTTGGATCCTATTGCAAGAGAGAAAAAATTGTCCTCTCGGAGGACATGAGCTTACTGGCAATGAATAGTCTGTAGGAAGAAAATGGTAATGACGGGTACCTATGGTGCGAAGCATAAATGTTTAACCTCATGTGCTATGAGGACAATTACTTTCCAAAGAGAATATTTAAATTATTTAATAGTTTGTATCACTCAGTGTACCTTGTTTTCTATTGCCAATATGTTTGCTGTGCCTTATCTGTGGAAAACGTATGTAACGGAACATCGCAACAAGTGACAACGGAGTGAATAATGATACATAAACAACAATGTGCTTGCAGAACAAAATCATTCTTCAAGGTAGTGACTGCTAAATTGCATGTGCACTGTGGCACGTAAGGTTGCTTTGGCAGCCACAAGCAGAGTTAAACTTCTACAAAAATTCTTGAATTGAGTTTGGCCATATTAATTTCTTTGCTATTTCTATCCATTCGTAATTGCTTTATGTGTAAATTAATTGAGTTCCAATAGTAATGAATATTTTTTAATCATTTGTGGGAAATGCAAACATGAATCTGTCGTTATTACTATAACGTAAACATTCAAATAAAATGTCAGAAACTCACATAAATTCAAAACATTTCATCTTTATTATGGTTATAAGGTAATTTTGCTACGACAAATGCATGCTTAATCTTGCACAGAAATTACAATAGTCCCAGCTTCTTGGAGGAAGATGGGCTTTACGTTTTCCAGCCTTGCAGTAAAATGAGAAAAACAAACCCAGCCAGATTTAGCCAAAGAGAGTCTCTGTTGAAAGGCTGAGTTAACAGTTAATTTGACCACAACCTTGCATGTATTAACCAAATGATAAGTTGCTCACCCTTCTCAGATCTGTCTGGTTCTAAAATCTTTCTGCCTTCATGTAAATAGCCCCTAACAAAAGGTTCTCTTAAGGTTGGTCCACATGTAAATTTTTTTTTTAAAGGACTAATCACTCACTTGCTTAAAAATGAGTGGGCTCTTCCAAACTTTGTGAGGAGAGATGGATTTACTCTTGCGAAATGAATTCCCAGAGTTCTGGGAATTCCTAGGAATTCCAATTTATTCCAAGACATGCAAATGAGCAAAGATAAAAAACCTTGGAATATTTGGGAATACTTGGGAATGGGTTAAAACACCAGTGGGAATTTTTGGGAATTCCCAGGAATTCCCAATAATTCCAAGTTTGAAGGAAACTGTCTTTGGAACTTATGGGAATTATTGGGAATTGCTAAAACACCAATGAGAATTTGTGGGAATTCCTAAGAATTCTCAATAATTCCAAGTCATTGTTAACTTGGAAACTGAATGGCTTAATTTTCAGGAAAAACGATAAGTGTTCAAAGGTAATAAAAAGCGTAAAAAATTTTAATGATCATTTCTTTAAATTTGGTTAAATGTAATTTAACTAAGTTAACCACCATGAACTTAGCGGTCAAGCGGTTCACAAGCGTAGTGGTCAAGCAGTTCACAAGCATAGCGGTCAAGCGGTTCACAAGCTTAGCAGTTAAGCGGCCCACAAGTTTAGCAGTCCACAAGTTAAGCGGTCTAGCAGTCCACAAGCTTAGCGGTCAAGCGGTCTACAAGCTTAGCGGTCAAGCGGCCCACGAGCGTAGCGGGCATCCAGCGGTCAATCCCATAAGTGCAGGCTCACATGGTTTGTGGTAGCTTTGTACACAGCTAGGATCTGCGAGTTGTTCATCGAGCGTTTGTGCAGTGGTCTGTGGAGCGGTTCATTTAGCGTCTTCCCCCCCTCCCATCCCTATTTTTCTTCCTTCCACTGTTTGATCAGTGTGACGGGTGCCTGGAATGGGGGCTCATGGCTGGGTTGCGGGGATTTGCCAGCCATGGGGGCAGTTTTTCTATCTAGGGGCTGGCTGGCCACAGTGGAAGCCCCTGGGTACCCCAGGCACCCACCTTCCACTTAAGTGAGGCAGTTGGTTAATTGCCTATAACAACAAGGATTTCTTGACATTAACCAGCATCTATATACACCATTTATTGCGACTTAAATCTTTAAAAAAAAATTATCAACAATAAGCACGATACTGAAAGCTTATTCAAAGTGCCACTTCTTGTACCTGAGCGTTCCAAACATGTCCACAACACGTTTTTCATCGCGGCTTTGCCTAATAAAAGGTCATCGCTTCTTGAAAAAACAATACGAAATTTTCCTCTCGCTGCTTATACCTCAAAAGCGTTGGAATATTTTATTTAGCTCTGAAAAAGACCGCTTTTTTCAACTTGCTCATCATCGAGCAAAATCATCCGCCAATAATTGTTTGAGCTATACTGGTTACCAGTCTCCACACTAAGTGAATTGCGTCATCACGTGCGCCTTTTAAACCAATGGAAAAGTGTGAAATGAAGTTCTGTTTGGTGAGTTCAAATTCCCGCGGACTTTCATTAGCAAGAGCACAAGTATTTTGCATCCGAAATTGACGTTATTTTAAACGCAGATTGTTCATTTATTTTGTTGTTGACACATGAAACGTGCTTCCAGTCATGTCCGAGAACGATAAGTCAGCTGGATTGTGAAAGGTAAAGGTACGTTCCTGCTTCGTAATGTGTCTTCTGATGGTAACCACATACTCAAATAATGAAGCTGGGGATCAAAGTGAAATTATAGATCGTTCCGATATATGAACACGAAACTTCAAGATGGCATGGAAAACCATTTATTGGTTCCTTTTTGTTTACTGGAGACATAACTGTAGTCGTTGTTGCAAATGGTTGATGGAATTCTACGTGAATAAGCTAATACTCGATCAGATTCTGGCGGATTTAATACAGTAGAACCTCAATAACTCGAACTCGGATAACTCGAATTCCCCGCTAAGTCGAACTAAATTTGCTTTCTCTTGATCAAGATTTCACTGAAATTCACCCCGATAACTCGAATTCCCCACTTAAAATCGAAATATTTTTCGTTTCCCTTTAGAGTTCGAGTTCACCGCCGGGGTTCTACTGTAGTCATGAACAAGTATGTTTAAACGCCATGTACTACAAGTATTTTAGTTTCCAGTTCATTATTTTGTTCTCAGTTTGAGACTTGAATTAAAAGAGCGGCTTAATAAGATAATATTAGGGCTTAGCAGATAAGCTTGCTGGAAGCAAGTTGGCCTGACTTTTTCTTTTTTTACATATATGTTCCCGCTGTAAAATTAATTCAATCAAGACTCTTTTGCTGTATTATTCCAGTTACAAATGGGTCCCACAATTTTTCAATAATGACTCAAGAACAATTTATATCTCAGGACTTCAATATTGTTTTATTCAATTTTTTAAAAAACAAAACATGTACCATAAGATGTGATTTTGAACATTATTATCATAAACTTGTTTAAATGCAATTTCCATGCTTTCTCCAGTTGGTAATTAATCATTAAATTTGCGTATACTTTACTATCCTGGCATTGGATGTTGATTGATGACATGATGTTAACCCTGTAAACTCCTAGAATTCCTAGAAATTCTAATTACTAGGAATTTCTAAGAATTTTTTGTACTTTAAAATCTTGTAGGTTGGAATTCCTAGGAATTCCAAGTCTAGTCTCATTTCCATTTGGAATTTCCGGGAATTTCTAGGAATTTAGAACCAGAACTTTTTAAACTGGGAATTCCTAGGAATTCCAAGTCCGAATTTACCGTGAAAATTCACACCTACGATTCCTAGGAATTCCTCGGAATTCCAAAAGTTATTTCGCAAGGGTATTCAGCCAGATGAATGTTTTCACTAGTGTCCAACGTCCCAGAAATTATGACCAAGGTTGCAATAATCTTACATATTCCTACAGTGAATGATTAAATTTTCACTTTTAGCTTCACGTATAGGCTGGGAGGGCTTATTTTCTAACCACGGAAATTACCTTCTTCATCTGAGTCTTCAGCCTCATCTCTCCTTCGCTTTGTTGCTTGCATGACAGCAAGTTGAAATGACTTCACACAAACTGGCAAATTAAATTAAATTTTAAAAAATTAAGCAAAAAAAAACAAACTCCAAAGCAACTATAAATAATAATAAGTAACACAGTTGCATGACCACAAGAAAAATAGTTAAATACTAGCTGCAAGTGTAAAATCTAACTTCAGTAGGAGCATTAACCATCCATACATATGCCTGTGAATTTAATTTTCAAGGAAGTTTTTGATTGCAGATCAGGAGTCAGACTGAATTTTACAGAAAGTACTACAGGGAAACCCTAGTGTTTTGGCAGGCTTTGGGCTTTACACATATGGAATTTTACCTTACATTTTTTAGATCAAATAATCCAAACATAAGAATTAAGTTGATAAACGTGCAGCTCAAAATTGTTTCATCAAGTCTAAATCAATAAGTCATACATTAAATTACGTGTGTGATTTTCCCTAAAGGAACTTAAAAATTTTGATTGGATGTTACGTGACAGATTTGACCTCAGATTTGCAAGTAGTCCATGTTCAATATACCAAAATTCTAACATGACTTAAAGCAGCCTGTGTCACAGACCTAATTTAACCTCTATTAGTAATGTCTGCGAAACAGCACCGACGTGTTCATGCTGGCCCCCAATGAACTCAACAAATTACCAAAAGAGCATTTAGAATTTCCTTTCATCTTGATTAGCAAATCGACGATGGCATTTATAACAGACCAATCATAGCTCGTACTCGAATCCTGGTACAGAGGTGGAAGCCTAGAATGAGGATTTCAGCGCTGTTTTGCAGACGGACTTTTCATCTGTGCTACAGGCTAGAGACTTCAAGGCTTTGGTGTCAAAATCCCAAATTTTTCACCACTCTATTGTATCGCAATTCGCAGAAGAGACATGAGCACAAAGAAAACCAAACCAAATACAGAAAACAGACCAGAAAGCCTTAGAGTCACATTAGAATTTTAATATATCAAACGTGGGTGGGCTGTTCCTTCCTCCCACACAATGTATTTCTTTTAGTTGTTGATTACATCGTTTAGTTCAGTACCCATTGGGACCATCATGATCAGATCCTTTATAAACCACTCCTTGTGAATTTCACACCACTTGATGCCAACCAGTTTACTGGAGGCTGCTTTTTTCGTTTTCTTATGTATGAGTTTTTTAGGTTTTACCTACGTTTAATTTGTTCTTGTATTTTAGCATTGCTTTGTTAAAATGGTCTGACTCCGTTTTAGTTTGTTAATTTTTTGTTCAGCATATTTTGTTAGCACTTATGATGTTTCCTTGATCTAGCCTTTCTTAGTCCTCTGTATCTGTATTTTAAGCATGCATATATTCCTTGTTTTTGCTGTAACTATCACTGGTGTAATTAACTCGATTGCTGGCCGCTCCCTCCATTTATCATTAAAACAAAAATATTTTCTATTCGGCTGAATGTAGCGATAGAGAATAGAACGTCCTTCATATACTCGTGCGCCTTAAACCATGCCATCGCCTCCCGGCCACCCCATCTCTTACCGACGATTGTCAACTCTTGCACGAGTAACCAAACCATCATGTAATTGATTATTGAATCAAGGAGTTACAAAATTTCCCTTCTTTGACCACTAGATCGTTGCTTCATACCCCACTACTTGTCAAAGCGCTTTAATTAAAGAAAGAAGCACAAGACAACAGGCACTTTTACGTTGTTCAAGTATGCAACGCAAGTACATGTAAGTGGCGAAGTATGTTGAAGTTTAGCCTCAGGGAGCCTGATATGATCCTTGCACACAATAAGAAGACACAGTATGCTTAGATTTCACATGAAAAAGAAATGCATTAATTCGGTTCTTACCTTGACAAGCAACGCATGCATTTCAATCCAATGCGGAAAATCAACTGTACAGAGAACACGATAAAGTTATATGATGGGACGCTTGCTGGAAAAATAAACTCAGCCGATGTTTTTAGGTTTGTTCCAAACTACAAAAAATCGAAAATTTACCACTGAAACGAATAAAGCGTCGATAAAAACAGCGAACACAATAAATTTCACACTGACGTTCACTTCCGTATCTGGGAATACGTCGACGAGGCGTCTGATCTCTGAAGATAATCTTTGCATTCATTAGTTCAAAAAGAGTCTCGTGACTTGCACGTCAAGTGAGCCGAAAAATTTGGAATTGGATCTGGAATTCTAGGTTAGTTGAATAGGCTTTAGTTTTCGTTTCATGTAATCTCTATGAACGTCATAAATAAAAGAAAGAAAATTTGAAGTGGCCTGTGATATCACTGACAGAGTTTCTAACACCAAGATGATTCCAAGTTATGAATTGCAAAGCAACAACCACAAGATGCTTTTGTTAACAATTCAACATAACATTGAAGAGGTAAAACAGTGAATAGATGATATTTAGCGTCAAAAGCACTTTGCCTGTGTTTGCTTTCTGCTTTTGTTTCCCCAAACCGAGCCTGTTCTTGCAAAGCTTTAGATACCCTGGGGTGGGGAGACTTACTCATCAGAACCAAGCCCAAACGGTCAAACCCTTAATATCCTTTGATGACTATTCCAAAAACATACCGGGTCATATAGCTGCTATAGAATAACTGATACCCTTTTCATATGCCTACAGTTCTTAAGGAAAAGCCCTGGGACACGAGGTTAGGCTTCAGTGAAAACACTGCATACCATCCCTTTTACTTACAGATCAGTAAAGGTAGATTTCGCAAGACGTGAACTGACGACTGTAATGTAATTTTCATACCGAGTTCTCCAATGATGAATAACGATTACAAAAACATCATTTGTGGTTGCCACGTTTGGTTAACTTTCAGGGCTCCTGGTACATGCTGTTGTAACAAAGAAAAAACAGTCTTCCTCACCCCTCCCCCCTCCCTCTTTTTTAAGGATTATCCCGAGTACTGTGATGTTAGTATAGGTAATCACATGATTCTTCTCGTGCAATTTTGGGATAAATCAGCACTCGTAAATTTTTCAAAGACTAACCAAATTGCATAAGCCCGGGTACGGGCAACGCTTTGGGGCAGCTGCTATTTTAACGTTGCGTCTCGTTTGGACAAGAAAAAACAATTTCAACTTAAAGTTTCGTTCGGAAGTGGACTGGTATCACTGCGCCTCCCACCTTTAACAAAACCACGCTGGATGCGCCCTTGTTTCGGTTTTCCCTTCTCCTTAATAACCAACATGTTCAAATTCCAATTCGATGTAGAAGGTGTTTCCAATTAGTTGGGGACGTCTAAGAGGGCTACAGGTTCACTCATTCTTGGAACTATTTTGTGTCAACCTCTTTAACCCCCTAGGTCCCCAAAGTGACAAACCTCAATTTTCTCCCTTAACAATATAAATACACAATCAAGAAAAAAGGTTGTGATAATTAATAAAATAATCACCCGAGGGAAATGCTTTGATCTTTCAACAAATTCTCTCAACTTATTCTTTACAGAAATGTGAAGACAAAGGTTTGGAGAATTTGTATGTGGATATTGGGGGTTAAGGGGTTAAATACAGTTTGTTTTTGGTTTATTTTCCATACTCATCACTTTCGATTTATTTTGTTATTCAAGGTAGCTAAATTAAAATATGGTGGGAGAGAAAAACAAAATCATCATAAAAAAAAAAAATTTAAAAAGAGGAAGAACAAAAGAAGGGGGCTGACAGGGACACTACAACAGCTGATGCCAACTACAGCGGGCGGGTTTAATGACCCTGTGTATGCATGATAGAAGGATCTTGGATTTCGATTTGGGTCCACTTTACTAACTTAATTGTTACTTCCTATGTTAGCTGGCGCCAAATACAAAAGGGGTGATGGCCAGTTTATAGTTGGCGAGATCAGCTTTCTGAGTGATTCTGACAGCAGGTAACTGGTAGTTGCTTTCAAACAACTCAGGGTAGGAGATCTTGTCACTAGGTAAGAAAAAAGGGTTTTCACCTAAACATTTGTTACAAACAATTGGGGATCAAAGGAAGGAGTAAGGAGAGGATGGGTTGTGTGGTCCTCTCTTATTATTGTTACCGCAGCAGGATTATCTCAGTCGGTAGAGCGCTTGACTGCAGAGCGGGAGGTCGCGGGTTCGATTCCCGGACCGGACCAATACTCAGGGTCTTAAAATGACTAAGAAATGAAGGTACTGCCTTTGTCCTGCAAACGGGTAGCCCTTCGCGTGGCTCGGATGACCACGTAAAATGGCGGTCCCGTCTCCAGTAGGAGACGTAAAAATAGTGTCCCCAATTAGTACTTTGTGCTAAAATTCATTGACACTCAAATAAAGTGCATTTTTTTAACCAAGGCCCCGAGATACTTCATTTTGGGCAGAAAGCAACAGGCCCCTGGATCCATCCGTTTTAGACACAAAGTTTATATCTTAGCCGAAAGAGAAGTATCCGTACGGTAAAAAGGGGGTGCATGGGCCTCCAACCCCTCCCACCCCCTGTCGGTCTAGACCAACCTTTGCTTCTTCTGTCCCTTAAGCATTTTGCTAAAGGATGGAAAGTTTGATTTACTAAGGAACGAGGCCAGGCCAACATGTTACTGGTCTAACGGAACTTTAATAACATCAGTTTAAAAAACCAAGGCTATGTACAATGATATAAAACAGGAAACCTGAAAATGTATCAGCCACTATATGTACCAAAAATCCTAAAATAGCACTTACTGTAAATCAGTGAAAGCATGATCACATTAAGCTAATAACACGCCTATAGGAAATATGTATATATCATATGTAGCGGTCTATGCGTACCTTACGAGCAGTGGTTTAACCACCGCTCGCAGGGTACTGTGTAAATGGCTATCTAAAGTTATCATATATGTCTATGATCAATTTGTGACAGTGTCGCCATTACGGAATACTTAACAGCGTTAATAGTATAGCGTCATTTATATATGAACTGTTTCAGTTTGTTTAAATACACATTGTTAATATGACGTTGCTATGTTTACGCAATACTGTATAAAGCCACCGCGTCCAAAAAACAATTTTCCGTAGTGTTAGTTATATTTCGCAGAATGTTGATCAATACCAAATTGTACTCTATAAAGCCATAACATATCACATGTAGCTATACTGTATGTACAACTATCTCAAATGAATAAATGCAGTGTCTCGCAATTAAACCCAGTCTCCACAATCGCATTACTGGAGATTTTTAGTTACGCGTTTCCCATATGAACCTTAGCCTGCGAAAACATCCGATTCTCCTCGCTCTTCGCCGCTGGGGGCGTTTCGCTGGCGCGCGAAACGTCCCTCTGCAGCGGCAAAGAGAGAGGAGAAACGGATATTTTCGCAAGCTACATGAACCTTTTAATTGAAATCACAACCTGTTCAACTACACTATAAAGACACAGTAGTGCCCAAAAACCAATTTTGCTTCACCTAAAATTGAAAGTATTATGAAAGTAATACAACAGAAAATCGAAGGGCTGCGAGATTGCTTTGAAGTTACCTGATCACTGAGAAGCTTTGCAGAAAAAGAAAAAAACAACAACTTCTTTTAAAGGCTCCAAAAACGCCACTGAATCCAGACTAAAATCAGCGCTATTCAGGGAAAAACCAACACATGTTTAAATAGATTAGATAAGCGTACTTAACAGAATATTGTCATTGGTTTTAAGATACTTTTAGCTTCCTGGGTTATTTTATTACTAAAGAGGTTTAGGTAGTTTAGCGGGATGCAAAATCATCGAGAGATGCCAGATGACTGATGAGGGAGTTAAACGCTTCACTGCAGCACTCACATACACTAAGCTGAAACCTCCATAGTAGTAATGAAGACACTAATGAAGGTGTTAAACATTTAACTACTGTATCCCGCTAAACTACTCAAACATTAAAATGTTTTTAGTTCGCAAAAACCCTGATTGTGTTGGTTGCCAGGTAACAACTTCGCACTCTCAATACATCCTAGCGACTGAAGGTTGTTGAAGCTTAAATCAAAATCCAAAATTCCTTCAACAGAGAAACATTTACATTGCATACAAGGATTTATTAGAAACTTACTTTACAGTTTATGTTCAATGACTTTAGGAGATTTATACCTTTATCAGTTATGTTGTTATACTTGAGGTTTAAGCTGTTTAGTGTGCAATTAGTGTGTGTGAGTGCTGTACATAAATGTTTTACTCCTTCATCAGTTATGTTGTTATGCCCGAGGTTTAAGCTGTTTAGTGTGCAGTTAGTGTGTGTGAGTGCTGTGGATAAATGTTTTACTCCTTCACCAGTTATGTTGTTAACCCCGAGGTCTAATCTTTTTAGTTCGCAAAAACCCTGATTGTGTTGGTTGCCAGGTAACAACTTCGCAATCTCAATACATCCTAGCGACTGAAGGTAGTTGACGGCTAAATTAAAATACAAAATTCCTTCAACAGATTTAAGTGCATGCACTAATGCTAAACAGTCGAGAGGTGACAGGTAACAACCATCAAAAATAAGCGCATTACAACCAATTTTCGCCAGTTTCTTTTGAACTTCTCGATCAGAGGCTTTGTTCTCATACATGCAATTGAATAGCGTCACCACTAATAACCTGTCTTCCTCAGCTGGCCAACGGGTCAGTGTTTCAGTTCGTTCCTCTGAATCTTCATTCATCTTGATGGCAACTTCTACAGTAACAGTTTCTGAGGGAAGAAGGTCGCTGAAAATATCTGTTGATTGTCCTTCTTTTTCAGCCAGCAGTCCAGCCACAAACTGCATCACAACCTTCCACGCGCCATCCTTGATGTGATCGGAAACAAAACCCCGCAGTTGTTCGGAACTCAACGTGTCCACCAAATACTTCGCCGCCAAGAACTCCTGTAAGGTCAGGTGTAAAAAGCAATATTGCGCTCTTCCCTCTGCTAAAGGACGGTCTCTAAAATCAGGTAAACGGTGAAACAGGCCATTACTCTCTAGGTCGTTAACTTCGTGTGATTCAAAAATTAGTCTTCCGTTTTTAATTCCGTCAAAAGCAATTTTTCCCAGTCGTGTGAACACATTTTGCACAGAGGAAGGCAGTTCCTTAAACGGCTTAAGAAAATACTGTTGACCTTCAGTTTTATTGTGGCGATATTGATCATCATCGTAGCTAAAGTAAAACATCCTTACTGCAATTGAGTATATTTCTGTCAGTCTCGTCGGGAGGCTGGTAAAGCCAGTGTTACCAAGCAACTCTAACAAGCAACTACAAATGATAAAGCAATTAACAGGAACGTAGCAGAAGGCTACAAGGTTTAAGTTACTGGTGATGTGTTGCTTTATGGTTTCCGCTTTGTCCGCCTCCTTTGTAAACTTCTCTACATAATTATTTACTTGCTCAGTTGAGAATCCCAGAATTTCAACTGTTTTGTCGAAGTGAAGACTTCTGATACATGACACGGCATTGGGTCTTGTAGTCGTTAGGATTGTCGCACCGGTAAGAATTTTTCCCTCTACTATTTTCTTCATAAGGAAATAAACAGGCATCCTTTCCTCTTCACTGTTTCTGTACGGAATGTCATCTTCATTTATTTTAGTCCTACCAGAATATTCGTCAAATCCATCAAAAATCAACAGTACTCGCTCTGGGTTGTGGCGGATGTAGTTCCAGAGCTCTTCGGAAAGAGCGGTTGAATACTCTGAGTGATCCAGAATCTCGCGAAGATTTAGTTCTTGGTTTCTAGAGTTAAACATTCTCAGCTTAACAAGAAAGGCAACTTTAAAATCGACTTGCGATTTTTGTGTTTCGTTGAAAAGGTTATCGGACGCCCAGTTGCGAAGAATCTTTGTGCTAAACATGGTTTTTCCAATTCCAGGACGACCGACAACAAGAATCTTCTGCTCTTTAGCATTAAAAATATCTCCTGGCAGTGTTGGTCGTAAACTTTCATTGGCTTTGTGGTACTCGTTTAGCTGTTTCACTCTGTCTCCTGAAAAGTCATACTTCGCTCTCCCTTTATAAACAATCAAATTGGTGAAGATTTCGTCAAGTTTTAAATCTCTTCTAGGTCCTTCGCCTGGATTATGAAAAGGTGATTTGAGGTCTCTGTAAGGTTTGTCAGTGACATCTCGGACATGTTTCTTCATACGTTCGATGAAAGGAGCGACTGAGGTTTCATCATAGTGGGTGATTAACTCTTGTGGTTGCGGTCCTGAAAAAAAACACTCATTAGTTTGATAACAAAATTGATATTTTATTAATTCACTGATGACGAATAAAACGATAAGTAATGGTAACAGGACTGAGTGGAGTCCAATTCGGTCTGTTAATCATACAAGTGATTAACAAAATCGGACGACCGCGTAGCGGGAGTCCGATTTGTTTAATCACGAGTATGATTACAGACCGAATTGGACGACACGAAGTTCTGTTACCAATTAATCATAACTTTAACAAAATTTGTCATATATGGGACTCTTTTTTTAATCAAAGGACAAGAAATTCCTAGATTTTTTTTGCTAGCAGTGAAACAAAAAAAGCCATTTAAGCGCGCGCGTGATGGCGCGTACTGTCCATGACGCGTACTGTCCTATTTAACTGTCCTATTAAGGCTGGAATCAGGGCAGTTGATAGCCAATCAGACTTAAGAATTTTGTTATAGTTATGATTATAATAATAATATTTTCACCACTGTCTAAAATATGCATGTCAAATGTCAAAATATCACTACCGTAAATCCTCCTTCTTTGAGATGTGGTGGGAGGGCTCAATTAATTTAGAAAAGACGATGGTATCAGCTCTCCATAGAGAACTAGAAAACCAAGTGGAAAAGCTCAAGTACAAGAAGGTTTAAGGTCATGCACGGAGGATCAGAATCAAATCCAAACTTCCAGTTGGTATGAAACCATCCATCCTTATTAGTAAAGAATAATTAGGGGAGGGAAGGGGGGATTATAAGAGGAAGGGGGGTTATTTGAGAAGAGGGGGGCTTAATAGAGGATTTACGGTATAATCCGGTCTATCATGATAGCTTCTAAATATTGCAAATTATCTCAAACCGTACTGGTCCCTTTTTAATAAGATGCACACTTCTAATGCTTCTTGTTATTTTACAGAAATGTATCACATTCACTATACTACTTGAATCTCAACTTAAACAACTTGAACAAGTGGTGAGTGTTGGACAGCTGAATTTGGGATGGCATACACCAGTACATAAGCTACATGTACCATGTAGCTTATCTGTGACTGTACTATGGAACGAACCCAACAATAGATTCAATAAATCAGATGCCAAGATGTGGCAGCACTTTATGATAGCATGATTACCTTGATAATGAGGCCAGGAATGGAAAACACGGGGTTCATTCAACATGTGTGCAACAAGAGATGTTGCCATCACACTGGCACAGGAAGACCAACTCTCTGAAGCTAAATGAGAACCATCTGCATAGTCAGCTATTCCTTTCACAATTAACCACTCAATTTGACAACCAAATGCTGCTGTAAATACGCCTGTAGAACAACAAAACAAACAGTACATGAGTTTTGAGAAAAGTCCTGTTTCATTTAAGTGTCTTCATCACCAAAATAAGAAACTTGACGAGACAGTGGGAGATGTTGGCAGCCATTTTCGTATAAGTTTCATAATAGTGTAATTTAAATTTATCAACAAAGATGAGTGTGGGTGGAGGTGCTTGCAAGGCTTGTAGAGCCAGGAAACTGCAGTCGAGTGCAGCTGCTCATAACCATGACAACCCTTCGAGTGGCAATAATTCAGGCACCATTTGACAGCTAACCAGTGGAGCTTTTATTAAGTGGCCAGCTTAGTAATACAGTCACCTTGTTATTTTTGGCCTGGCAAAATGGCCATACATTTTCTAATGAAAAAACCTTGTTAACACAGTCACCCATTGATGTGGCCAATTGCCATATTTTAAAATCCCAAACAGTAGCATCTTTTACAATAAAATATTTCACCCCACTGAAACGGCCACTTGTCAGAAATTTTGAAACTGATTAATGACTGTAACATGTCAATTTCATTGACCTAGTAATTAAGCTGAGCTTGTTTTTCTACTATTTTTAAACTATAGTCACTTACAATGTATTTTGTGGTGGTCTAATAGCCGATTTTTAAAAACTGTTTTATGTCCTAAAGGAGTTTCAAGTAGTTTTTACAACTATGGTGTGTGATATCTACATTCCTGTTATTTACTTAAGAGAACAGAGTTGTACAAGAAGTGCGACAGCGATGTATGATGTGCTTGTCATTACAGTCCTCAAGTCATGAAGTTTGACCCTGCCCTTGTGATACAGCCACCCCGTTGACGTGGCCAAATTGTTTTGACCCATTAGTGACAGTGTTAACGGGGTTCCACTGTACTTACCAAAAGGAAGGCTGGGTAAGGAGCAGAACAATTGACCTCAACAGAGAAGCTGTGAATTCCCCAGGGTCCCTGAAGAGCCTTCTCATTTGAAAGACTAACTTAACTGGCCAGCCATGTCAAGAGTTAAACTTAGGCTAAATTTGATTTAGCCACATAATGTTTTAGGCAATATGACAATTATTTCTCTGGCAGAAACGAGAGGATTTCCCAATGAAACTAGCAGACATGATTTAAAGTGCCAAACTACCGACCTTTTGACGCTTTAAAGGAAACACAATTTTTGCTTTCCCAGTACAAGTATGATGCACGCTACTGTGTTTCTTTCCACCTCCTCAAGCAAAACTTGAACTAACTGTGTGCACCTTTACTTATAAAGACTGGCTGCAAAAAAGCAGTTGGCCTACCTTCTCCTTCATTTTCCATTGCTATTGCCTGAGGATTGGTTTCAGCAAGTTGATCACGCCGCTGCCCAGAATTGACTTTTTCTGGTCCACTCAGAAACTCTGCAGCAGTATGAACTTGAACTTGCTGAGCATCAGACTGGTTCTTCAAAGGTGCTTGCCAGCCATCTTTACAGTTCTTAATGACGTCCAGAAAACGTTTGCTCACACAATTTCTCAAGCCAGTTGACTGTTCTTGATTATTCATCACTTCTTTGGGAGCATATGTTGCTATTTTGGCAGGCACAACAACATCTCCTAACTTGCATTTCTCAGGGTGAAGACTGCTACACGTACCAACAGATACAACTGCTTTAGGTCTGAGCACAGTGGCTGCCTTCATAACAGAGACAAGAGAACCACCAGGACCACTACTATTTTCATAACATTTTAATAATGCGACTTTAACTTTCTCTTGCCTTCTATCCACATCAGAAAAGTAAACATATCCAAGACCATCAAAATAACATCTATAGGGGTTTTTTAGCTCACTGTAACAAGCTAAAAACTCACAATCCTTTACTGTCAGTAACAACACATCAACAGGGAGATCAGCTTCGTTTGAAGGTTTGGTTATTGTGCTAATGTCACGCGAAGATGGAAGAACTTTATTAAGCTCAGGAGGGCCTGTAATTGGCTTCTTTGCATTGCTTGCAGTATTGTTTACATAAGAAGGGAGACTGCCAGTAAGCTGTGGTACAGAAGCATCACTTCCATCTGATCTTCCAGTTGTATCCTCTGGAAAATCAGTAGTAAGCTGGGGTGTATTGCCATCACTGTCCTCTGATCTGCTTGTTGAATCTTCTGAAATTCTTATTATCTTAGATCCTAATGAGTGCATGAAAAAGAAATAATTAAAATTAATGATAATAAAAATTGAAATCAATAAAATGATATATAATATTTACAACATTATGGAGTGCTAATGGCAGGTTGCAAAGACAGTTGAGTTGATCTATATCAGAGATTTTGAAGCTGTTCAAAAAACTTGCAGTCATGTAATACACTCCTGCTTGTTTTTTTAAACAGTACATAAAATTTAAATGTTAAAAATCCCAAAGTTTCAGTAAAACTTGGCCTTCATTGTACAAATTGGCAAAACCACAGTATTTTTTAATCATCAGAGGTGGAATTTATGGCATGAGTATTTGAATTTTTGAATATTTCTGTGCTAACTGAAAGTTCAGGACAGTTTTCAGTCTGTCATCTTTTAAGGATTATTTTGGTAGTTTCTGATTGAGGGTGTAACATTTGGTACCGGTTTTGTTAAAAAATATATGTGGCCCAAATCAGAGATACAGATCGAAGAGAAAAGCAGCAAGTACTAATGCAACAGCATCAATTAATTTGAATGTAGTGAAAGATTACAAGTTGAAGGAAGATGGGCTTCACATTTTTCAGCCTCACAGTAAAATGAGTAAAAAGAAACTCAGCCAGATTTAGCCAAAAGGAGCCTCTGTGTTAACCCTTTAAGTCCCAATAGTGACCAAGATCAATTTTCTCCTAACAATATCCATACACTGTCAAGAGATACGTTAAGAGAATAAATAAAATGATCACCCAAGAGAAAATGCCTTGATCTATTATCATATTCTCTCAACTAATTCCGTAAGGAAATGTATGGAGATCATTTTGGAGAATATGTATGTTGATACTGGGGCTTAAAGGGTTAAAAGGCAGTTAACAGTTAACTTGACCACGTCCCAGCACGTATTAACCAAATGACAAGTTGTTCCCCCTTCTAAGATCTGAGTAGTTCTATAATCTTTCTGCCTCCACGTAAATTAAGCCCCTAACAAAAGGTTCTCTTAAGGTTGGTCCACAATCATGCAAAAGTTTTTTTTGAAGGACTACACTTCACTTGCTTAAAAATCAGTGGGTTCTTAAAAATGACTGGGTTCTTTTGTGAGGAGGGATGGGTTCAGCCAAATGTTTTCACTAGTGTCCAACATCACAGCAATTATGACCAAGGTTGCAATAGCCTTACATTGTACAGTGAGTTATCACATTTTCACTTTTATTTTCATGTAAAGGAGGGCTTATTTTCTTACCATAGAAATTAACTTCTTCATCTGAGTCTTCAGTCACATCTCCCCATCTCTTTGTTGCTTGCATGACAGTAAGTTGAAATGGCTTCACACAAACTGGAAAATTAAATTAATTTTTAAATATTTATTAGCAAAAAAAAGAAAAATCCAAAGCAACTATGATAAGTAACACAGTTGTCATGACCACAAAAAAAATAGTTTGTCAATGGCTACAAGTGTAAAATGTGGCTTCAGTAGGAGCATTAACCATCCACAAATATGCTTGTGAATTTAATTTTTAAGGAAGTTTTTGATCGCAGATCAGGATTCAGACTGAATTTTACAGCAAGTACTACAGGAAACACCCTAGTGTCTTGGCAGGTTTTGGGCTTTAAATAAGCACATATGGAATTTTAACTTTTATTTTTTTGGTCAAAATAATTCAAACATAAGAATTAAGTTGATAAATTTGCAACTGATGCTTCATCAAGTCTAAACCACTGAGTCATACATTAAATTATATGTGTGATTTTTCCTAACGAACCGTAAAATTTGATTGGATGATCATGTTATGCGACAGATTTGAGCTCAGATTTGCGAATAGCCCATGGATGTTCGATATACTAAAATGACTTCAAGCAGTCTGCATCACAGACCTAATTTAACTTCAGTTAGTAATGTCTGTGAAGCAGCGCCAATATCCTTATTCTGGCTCCCAAGGGACTCAACGAATTACCAGAAGAATGTTTTCGAAATTCCTTTCATCTTATTTATTTGGCATTAATTAACAATGGCATTTTTAACGAGCCAATCATGGCTCGTACTCAAATCCTGGTACGTACACAGCTGGGGGTCAGGAACAAGGAATTCAGCGCTGTTTCGCAGATGGACTTAACCAGAGTTTAGTTTTGTCTGTGGCGCAGGCTAGACTTCAAGGCGTTTGGGTCAAAATTGCATCACCACTCTATTTATTTACACAATAAACTACTGTTATTCTTCACAGTGATCAGTTATATAAATTATTCAGAAATAACAACACTAATGTTCTAATTATTCATTGTACAATAGTCGGGAACATAACATTTTAGCTAACGAGCTAATGGCGTTTGAGCGAGTGACCTCCAGACCATAAAGGAATCAGGCTAGTGCAAGAGTTCTCTAGTATCTCTGCAATTTTTTATTACAGTAGAGGTAAATTAGTAGAAGTTTACAATATCCAATGGAATAACATCTTATACAACTAGTATATTCAGATTAAGCAGGGACAACTTATTGTTTAGAAAAAAAGTAAACTTTATTCTCATAGAGACATTTATAGTATCATCATCATCTTGCAATGTCCTCTGCTACTGATATATGTATATAAATTCCGCAAACATAATTCCGCAGGTCCAAAAAAAGAAAAAAAGGATCTTTGTGAATAGAAAGAATGTTTTACCTTGTCTGGGCTGAAGGCTGACATAGTGTAACTCGTGAATGTGCCCCAACACAAGGGGGGTGGTGTTGGTAAGTGCGTGATCTGGCTGGACAACTATCTCACGGTCGAGACTGCTGATAATACGGATGGAAGTTTGAAAGTGATTTGCTGCAGCAAACAAAACCACATGATCGCCCCAAGTACCGTCTTTCGCCATGCTTTGTAAGTATTCACGCCAAGATGGGTATCCAGAGACAAAGTTAAACAGAGATGTTCCTTCGTGCTAAAAAACAAAAACAATGAAGCAAGTGAATTTCATTTTTTTCTACTAGGCTGCATAGATGTGGAGTGATTTTAATCTGCTAGAAAGATTATTTAAAGTTTATTTAAAAGTGAGTGGTTGGCTAGGGTAGGCTTTAAAACCACTTATTATTCATTCAAAATATTTTCCCAATTCTGATTGGCTAAAAGCACATGCATATTTCACCATAACCAGTTAATGATGACCAAATTTGGAAGAATTTTGTGTTTAATGAGGAAATGACGTCAAAAATGCAGCCCACTGCAGGTTAATGCACTGTTAACTGAGAATACCTGGGGACCACTGGTTGAGTTGTTTTGGTTGTGAAAAAAAAAAGGCGGACATTTCACTCATTTCAAGAGTAAGAAAGTCTACAGCTGGAACTAGGCGAAGTAATAGCTAAAAACATGTCAAAAACAGCAAGAAGACAACTTGGAGGGCGATCTCAGCCTTCAGCCTCGGTGGATAAAACCCTCCTCGATCTGCTTAATTCTTCATATCTTATTCAGCCTCATTCATTAATTGCTAATTTCTTGAAGGCACAAGGGTTTGCTGGGAGGCAAATTTCAAATAAAACAAGAATCGCCAAAAAGGCGATTTTAACTGGGCTGCCAAGGAGTGACCTTTTTTAAGGGGAGGGGGTGGTTGGGGGTGCTTGTCACTGACCATTGCCTGCGAGTGAAACATAAACTCATTTGAACACTGTACCCTTTTGGAAGACTTTCGTAACAAGAAAAATGAGTACCATTTTTTGTTGGGGCCGTATAGTAACTTTTGAATTCCACCATTAACAATAAAAATAAGCAAGTTAGCCACTCTAAGCAGGAACGGTTTAGCACCCCTCCCTCAATCCCTCTGCCCCCCAAAATATAGTGTGACAGTATAACATGACTGAGCAGTACGTTTCTCAATTCTCGATCTTAAAACTAACAAAGCAAATTAAAATTCAAGTTTTGTTTTTGTCTGAAGCCTTTCAAACTGTCCAAGTGAATATATATATACCTTGTAGTTCATTTTGTTTATATATCTCAAAGCAGTATCTCATATCTCATGTATATCTCATATATATCTCATATCTTATATATGTACATATCATATAACTACAGGTGAGTTCCACACTGCTAAATTCAGGATAGTGCTCAACAATTATATAATATGGAGCGGTAGTAACAAAGCTTTTCTACTCAATTTTGTTTCAATTATGGACTTTAATACAATACTGTTTCGTAGGTCAATGAAGCGTTGACACACTCATCAGTTAAATTCCATATACACTGAAGCATCGTTAGAGTTTATATATATACATCAGCAACATGATCTAAGCCGTTACAATATTCAAATGTACAACAGTATATCTATGTAAACTTATGATTGGTCGTTAAGGATGCGATTGAATTATATTTAAGGAGGAACTTCCGCTTGTGCCTACAAGTTGATATAAGTTCGTTATGCTTGTTAAGAGTTGCCATGCATGTCCGGTTTAAATAGCATATAGAATTTCTCGATACTACACAGGTTACATCAGTGTATACAGCTCTTTCGAGAAAGGTTGTCGGAAACAATGTGCACCTGACAATCTCAAAAGGTAATATGGGATATAATCAATACACCGTTCATGACACTGTGGCTGTCGAATCTACCTTTGTTGCTTTCCTTTAACAGTTGCCAACCTACATCCATTGCATCTCGTGCCATTCTTTCAAATTTCTTTCTAAACACCATCCAAAATACCTTTCGGGATTGTCGCGTGCACTCTTTCTGACAACCTTTCTTAAAATAGCTGTATAGAATTTAACTGATGAGTGGGTCACTGCTTCCTTGGCCTACAAAACAGTATTGTATTCAAGTCCATATGAAACAAAATTGAGTAGAAAAGCTTTGTTATATATCATATATATATACATATATCTCATATCTCATATATCATATATATCTCATATCTCATGCTAATCTCTCTTCGTGGATTTAACGTATCTGGTTTCATGTATTGATAGCTATTTAATCAAGACTATGAGCACTGCACCAATCAGAAGCTGCGTTTGTGGGAGAACGCAGTTTTCCAAAATCCTGGGGTTTGTGGGCAAGCGTTTCCTTCTCTCCCCTTCCCCTTCCCTGTCATTTCTTTTTTTGCTCTTGTCCCAACTTTCTCGACGAACTCACGCAGAAACACTTGCTATGCAAGCTAGAATGTTTCTGGTGAAAATTTACTATATAAGATCGAGAAGACCCCTGGGCACTTACTCTCACAGAACCAGTTCCAGAAGCATTTGAATTGCCTGCCCCTGACTGGGCAGGAAAAAATTTTTCTGGCCAATCAGCAAAGAGGAGCAGCTGGGTGTCTCTGGTGTTTTCTTACATGACGTAGGTTTCCTCATTGATCGCCATAGTTGCGTACGGTGCTCAAAAGGAAAAGTTTATTGAGGAAAGCTTCACAACAAAATGTTTAAGAAGCCGGTAAAATTGCAAGCTTTAACTAGTACAGCTACAAGAAACAACAATCTCCGATGAATTTTTACGGTGGATCTGTCGAAGGTATCATAAATTTTTATTGTTGATACGTGATTAATGACTTTCACTTTCCACACCTTTGCAGACATTGCCTAGTATACAACTCCAAGCTTACATTTTAGATCTCCATGTTTGTTTGCACAACTTCTGAAACTTTTCCGGCTTTGTTAACAGTTTTTTTCTGGAACTTCCCTCCATCAACTTTCTCAGTTGAACACACTATGCAACAATGGTGATCAATAAGAAACCTACATCATGTAAGAAAACACCACAGTCACCCGGCTGCTCCTCTTCGCTGATTGGCCAAAAAAATTTTTCTGGCCAATCAGAAGCAGGCAGTTCAAAAGCTTCTGGAACTGGTTCAGTAAGAGTAAGTGCCCAGGGGCTCCTCTCGATCTTATAGTAAACTTTCACCACAGACATTCTATTGTCCCGACTAGCTGCCCCTGGGTCTCCGAGGATGTGGCTGCCTTCACTTAACATGCTTTGCTATTACTAAGTTAATAATCGATAGTCTACATTTTTCGACGTAGAAAATCCCAGGGAGGTACTCCCTTATAGCTGTTGCTCTGAAATAGTGCCAAGATTTGGAGAGTTGGACAGCACACCCCCACTACAACTTCCCAGAAATACCCCTTGGGGAGAAAATGAAAGGTATTTTATAAACTGGGCCCGCCTTGAGGCAGCCCTGTTAATGAATTATTTTGATTCTCCCCAAATTAGGAGGGAAATGATACTGTTAACTGTTAAGGTCACCTGTAACCTTAGATGGCAACAGAAGGCGGCTATTTCAAGTCATGATGCAGTGTTCTCCTTATCAGGCGGTAACCGGTAAAATTTACTGCCTGAAGCAACACTTCTTACTGCCTGCAACTGCTCAAAGGTTTACCCAAGTTGTGATCCGATCCGATCCTCACAAGAAAATGAATGAACACATGGAAAAGTATAGCTACCTAAGTACAAAACCTACAGCCCAAAAAATAATGCGCGTGCAGGAACTTCTTTTTGCGTCCACAAGCTGGAAACTTCGTGCGGCTTTTTGCAGGGCGCTTGCGCTTGAATCCAGCAAGACGCAAGAACTTTTTTGCGGTTATAAATTTAACCACAAGAATTTCTTTGCTGTGGGATTTTCGAACCGCAGCGCAACAACTTCTTTCAGTGCGGTAAAATTGCCGTAGACAAGTGAAAATTTATCATGACAATAAAATAGCTGTGCCGCTTTCTGTATTTGTCAGCGGATCACTAATATACTTTAGGCACATAGTTTTGAACATTCAAAACCCTAAAACTGTTTCGTTCTTGCTGCTTTATAATGACAGTGATGTATAGATAACAAGAGAAAACAAAAAAGATAAACTAAAAATACTTTCATGTTTCATGATCGGTGAATTTTGAAACGATACATATAAAATTATCTTGTGCAAAGGTAACCTTTTAAGCGAGGAAATGTGTACAATTTTGATAAAAAAAAGCAGTGCTTCAAAAATAAGGAACGATCGTAGTATGTTTTGCAAAAGAGCCATGTAATTTGAGACCGCACGTGCAACTGTGTCAACTTAAAGCGCTCTTGGGAAAAAAAAACATGCTAAAGTAAAGTAAGGAATATTTTCACTAAAGGCTCTTTCAAATTAGCACAATAAAGTAATAAATTATTCCCATGTTTCCTTGCGGCAGAAATTCAATGCCTTTGGTTTGTTTTGCCGAGACTATGGTATTGTACTATGAAATGATCCAAATGATCGAAATGTTCGAAACTACAGATCGTTTTGTTAAACAAACGCCTCACACGCTTTATCTAACTTTGGAAAAGCTGAACGATTGAAGTGTTCACTTTGCAGAAAAAGCAGAGAAAGCTGTTCGCTTTCTCAGGCAACTTTTTACCTGTGTCCTTGCATGATTACCTTTTGCTGCCACAGAGTGAATTAGTATCAACGCAACAAAAAGGGTGTTGTAACAAAAAGGCGACAAACACCATAAATTTCTTTCACGTTGACACTTAAAGAACTTCATGCGCCTTCTTGAGGCTTGCGGTAACTTTCTAGCTTCTTGCGGTGAAGATTTTTGACTTCTTTCGTTTCAAAGTTCTTGCGGGTAAACCACAAAGGGTCTGCAAAAACACGGCACTTTCACTTCTTGCGGTGGCTTGCATGTTCTTGCGGCGCAGCAACTTCTTACGCCACTTTTTGCGCGTGCATAATTTTGGTTCTGTACTGTGTATACAGTTTTCCTTTTTAGGGACATGCATTTTGGAAAGAGAACATTAAAGACATAGTAAAATTATTGGAATCAAATGTTTTAATTTGTTGTCTAACGATATCGACAGCAGATTTGCGTAAAATAGGTCTTAAAATATGGGAATGAAAAATTTCCCAGTGAGGGCGGGTCCATGTCCCTCACTCCACTCTCCCCCCTCCCCCCTCTTAGAAAAGTATATATTTTTTGCCTTACCGTCCATAAATGGTCCCTTACCTGCCGAGCTAAAATTTAGGGAGAACACTGATGATGCATAATTTGTGTGATGAGACCAAGACAAGTGACCTAAAATGGTTGTTTTTGGTTGTTATTACCCTGCAAGTTTCGCTTTCAACGCTTAAGTATTTCAGACTAAATATGAAGAGGTGTGTGATTTCAAAGAAGATCGAGAGAGCCTTGTCTTGATCCCATAATACTACAGTTCTTTTTTGTTATGTTCAATCCCTGCTTTTATCCAATTTAGTTTAGCAAAGAATCGTCGAACTGAGTTAAGGGAAATGATTATAATTGATGATGATTATTACTGATTAATTTAATATTATTATTATCAAATGATTATCACATGGGAGGAATCCGCCAAACAGACACGGAAGGCCCGTTAGTTAGGCTAGTTATCAACCTACCAGATTAGGGTTCTCATCAAGGAACTGAACCAAGGTTTTTCTTAGCTCTTTGTGTGAGATTCGAATTCCTTTGACACTTTGTAATTGTTCTGATAACGCATGGAACAAACAGTTCCCGGATGCTTGGTTATCAGAAACAAAGAATCCTTTGTTGGCAGCGATAGTTCTCAGATCAGATGGTAGGTTGTTTTTTTTGCTAACCTGCTCTGCATCACATTGTAAATTTTCTAAAGATGGAAAAACATTCCAAGCTGAAAAAAAAAACAAAACAAAACAGGTAGTTATAATCACATTTTCCATTGTTTTGTAGGGGTGTAGTGGTCATGGATATTGATAATTTTTGGGATCCTATTGCAGTGATTAATTTAAAATAATCCTCTGAAATTGACATCAAGTAGTTTTTTTATGATAAGAGAATTAGCAAGATTTTAATAATATTACTTGCTTTATCCATAGTTCTCAGTTAGCTCGTTGATTGATTTTGCAGAGCGCAGTGCAGACTGGTTAGTATCTTGTGTTCTGCTTAAGCAGTGTTTCACATACAACACAATGGGGTCAAATGGAAGTGAACATATTGCATCTTGGGCAGCTGTTATGCCCAAAATATTTTGCAGCAAACTGTCTCAATAAGAGTATAGACACTTAGTAATACACTTTTGGTAGCTTCAAGGCATGTTAAATGGGAAAGGCCTCACATCAAGTTGAAATGCAGCGCTGATCAAAAAAGTCTTCTCTTGAGCTCCCTAATACCGTATTTATTCGATTAACCGACCTGGGCGCTTATTAAATTTTTGGACCTTGAGAGTGGGCGCTTATTCGAGGCTGGGCGCTTATTAAATTCTCACCACTTTCAGCAAGTGTAGCATGTTTATTTTGCAACAATACAATAAAAATATTAAATATTTTTATTGTATTGTTGTGTCAACTACTTGTGTCCCTGACTGTAGCTATCGTTCATCCACAATTGCATCAGCCAAGACAGATTCAAATGATGTTAACAATTTTAATGAACAAATCTTACACTTTTGATCAGCAACGGCATTCAAGAAGCTTATTATTATTAAGTCATCAGGGATACCTTCAGGGTCTACAGTTGTCCCTTCCGTTAGCTGAAAAGCTCTATCACTGAATGGAAAAATTCTGCCTTTTGTTTCTGAAGAGCTCTGGTAATCTAAAGAATCATCTGTTGATAAAAAAGAGTAGATAACAGCAGGCTGTTTTGGTAAATGCAGATGATGTATGGAATAATCCCATAAGCCAGTGAACTAGAAATAAAGCATACGATAGATGGTTTGGGTCGATATTACTTTACTTTGTTTGCTTACATGTAACATAAAACTTAGTAATCGCCTTTTTTCATGGTCTCAGCCAAAAAGGCAGCAAATATTACTCAAATTTGGTTTTGTTTGTTAACAGTGAAACCTGTATTAAGCGGACACCCTCGGGGAAAGCTGTAGTGTCCGCTTAATACAGGGTGTCCGCCTAATACAGGTTTCAATAGATAACGACATATGAGGTGTCAAATGCCATTCAAATGAACAAAGGAAACGTTTAGAATACTCCCAGAGACTATGACGATGTACGTTTGGGCCAATTGATCATAGTACCTTAAACACAGATTGCAACTCAAATTTGAAGAAATCAGATGAGTGAAAAAAGCTCTATACAAACAAAACGAAATAGAAAACAATACTGCACTAGGAAACTAATCAAATAAGTTTGTCAAGTCACGTTGTTTAATGTAAAAATCGAAAAATTTGTGGGTGACAATACAAAGCAAACTTTAGCATTTCCAGTGTCTGGCATGTTGGGTGGTGGAATTTAATTACAAGTATCCGTTTAATACAGGTTGGCAACAATAGAAATGACCATTTCAGGTACTTTTTAGGTATCCGGGTCCGCTTAATAGAGGTGTCCGCTTAATAAAGGTTTTATTTAAAGTAAATAAGGGAAATAGATTTGGGGACTTCGGCTAGTGTCTGCTTAATAGAGGGTGTCCGCTTAGTACAAGTTTCACTGTATTTTCAATTCTTATTAGAGTCCACATCCTATTATTCCTTGTGCAATGTGTTAAGAATACTTTTTTTCATAAAAAGAAAATTGGCATCCATACCATACACCCAAATGATCATCATGTCAATGAGATCTTTTATCTGTTTGGCCCAGTTGTATTTCTTGCCATAGGATTCGCGCAAGGTTTCTGCTTCCTCAAGCCGACTTCTCCTGTCCTTGCCCAAGATTGTTTTGATAGCAGAGGTCCAATCTGCTGGTTCCTCTGAGTTCACTACAGATGTTGATCCAAAAGGTACACTGTGTAAAGCTTTTCCAAAACCGGAGTTGTGGCTGACGAGCACAGGGAGACCAGCTGACAAGGCCTCCAGTCCTGTCAATCCAAAGCCCTCTGTTCTTGAAGGCATGACAACAAGATCCACTTCTTGAAACAAGCGCCTTAGACTCTCTCGATCTTCAACAAATCCTCTTACTCTCAAGCGACTTGCAGGGACCCCACATTCAGTCAACCGTTTTGCTATTTCTTCGTGTTTTCCATCTGGAGCTCCAACAAAGACAAGACGAGTATCTTCTAACCCAGCAACTGCTTTCCCAGCGATGTCAAATCCTTTCAATTTGAAATCCTCTATGTCTCCACGACCAAACACCAAGACACTGCGTTGTTGCCTTTCACTAGGAGCCTGCTTCACAGTTGCAAACTCTACGAATACTCCCGGAGTGAAGTCAACAACATTGTCATCTTTTTGACAGCCGCGAAGATAGGAGCGAAAGGCTTCACTCAACTTGGGACCAACTCCAACAACATGATCCGCCATTTCACACAGTTTTACTTCCATTTTGTGCTTTTCCTCGCCTTTTGAAATTGGATCTGAATAGTTCTTGAACATTCCAAGTTCCTCTGGATCTGTGTGCACCACTTGAACCCATTTGCACCTTTTAGATCTTTTAATGATTTGAACCTGTTTACCGAGTTTAACTCCATGACCTATGATAACGTCGATTTGCAAATCTTCAGGTGGAGAGCAAAGCCAGTCCAGTTGCTCAAAGCCAGGCAGTGGTGTTGCCTCAATGATCTTTACATTATGCTTCATGGCTACCTTCTTGTCCTCTTGACTGCATTGAGGTAAAAAGAAAGTGATTTCCACTTCAGGGAATTTGGCCAACTGAATGGCTAACTCTCTGTTTATCGTGGAAAGTCCCCCTTTGCTTGATCCCCATTCAGAAGCCAAAATAGTGACTTGCACTTTGCGGGAATCATCTGCTCTGCAATCCCGTGACTGGGGTTCCCATAAAGAAGATGCCATAGCCAAAGATCAAAGTTGTCATACACCTTTAATAAAAAGTAAACATAGAGAATTACTCATACAGTACCGTTCAAAAGTAAGTTGATAGTCTGTTGTAAGTCTCGATTCTTGACTCAATTCACGATTCTCGATTCCTGTGCGAATTGAGAATTGAGAATCCACAACAAGCTACTGAGCATCGAGTTGAGGATTGAGTCTCCCAGGACAGAAAACAAAAGATTCACCCATGACTGATTTCTTGATAATTTTACAAAGGCATACAGCTGTGACACAACACAGCATGGTTATATTCACGTAAGCGACTGTATGCTCGAAACAAGACCAATTCACACTTAAATGTACCAACCCATACTTATAACACTAGGTCTCAATAATCTTTTATAATTATAAATCCAAGCTCCAAGGGTAACATCTACGTGAACAGTTTCTTCCCGAGAACCATAAAAGATTGGAATGCTCTAGCATTAAATATTAGGAAGATAGAGACTTTGGAAATTTTTAAATGCACTGTTCAGGAACAGATTTTAATTACTTGATTACATAATTCGATCTATTTATTTGATTATTTGATTTATTTATTTCTTTTATTTCTTTATTCTTTCTTTATTTCTGTTTCTTTATCATTTTTTTTTATTATTTACCTTGGTGCGATGGGCAACCTTTGCCAAGTATAGGTATAGAAATAGAAATAGAAATAGAAATTCAAGTTATATGAAGGGAATGTTTCTTCAAGGACATCTGTATCAAGCTTCATTTCCTCAAGTAAAGTTTCAAATGCCCGCTCCAAATGCAAACAAACAGTGTATACTCATGAACAATCAACAGCATTGTTATTTCGTAATGCCAAAAGATTTTGGGCTTATCTGGCCTGGCTTGATAAAGATCAGCTGTAACATACACGTCCGTAACATGACTAATCTTTTGCTCTGAAGTTGCATTCATGATCCTTTAAAACTTTAGAGAAACAACGGTTTTTTTCCAGTACGAAATTTAGCGTGTTCTTTAAAGTTTGAGGTCATCTATCATAGAATTCGGCTGCCCTTTTCTGCGTGCGATGGGACATGATACGTATGAACTTTTTTGTTGCCTAGCACGTGACTAAGTATGTCTACGGTGAGATAAAAAAAAAATTTATCTTTTACCTGCCTTTTTAGTGTGGCATGATGTTTGGATAAATCACTTTAAGGCTAGAATAGACATTTTGGCAACATTTACCCAATTTAAAACTCACAGAAAGTGGAGCAGGTGGGGCAGGGGGACTTACATTTTGGTGCCAAAAAACACTTTTAAGGATGTATTTGACATTTCCTGTGACATTGGCGACTTCAGAGCACACCCTTCCTGCCCTCAGATGACTCAAGAACTACCTTAGAAGCACTATGATGCACGGTTAAAGGGCACCCAACGTCAATTTTCAGAGAATATCTGTTCGGAAGACAATTTGAGATCTAGAATTTTCGGAACATTTGCGGTAAAATCTCTTGCTTGCCTGCCTCCACTAGGATTTTTGAACATCTAAAAAATGGTATAATTGCCCATTTTTTATTGATTTTTACCCTAAAAAGGTCACCTAAAATTTTCGGGAACCTTTTTTCTGGCAGAAATTTTCGAAAGGGTAAGTTTTGATCCCTATAACTTTCGGATTGCTAGACTTTCAGCTAGGAAATCTGAACAGATGAAAAATTTTTAGGGGATAAAAATATGCCTACATATACTGTTTAAATACTAAAATACGTTTAACAATGCTATGTTTAAGTGGTTTTGAACTATATTCTCGTTGGGTGCCCCTGACGGTTAAACAACTGCCCACAGATGCATTGTCACAAATCAATAATATTATGGACATATATACTAGACACTGTGAAAATTGGATAGAGTTTTGCTTGTGCCAACTAAAAACACCAAGGGTATTTTGCAAAATTTGAGTAGGGGTTTTGCGCATGGCTGAGTGAAAATCTTCAAATTGATAGATCATTCTTTGCGTCCTACAGAACGCATGCCATGAATCATTTTGCGTCTTTGGGGATTTTTATGTGTCAGGGACGCAGGACACAGAGGTAACAAAATCACTGGTTACTAATTATTGAATTTCTTCTTTGCTGTGTCCATGGATACACTTACTGACTGATAAATATATTTCAAAAACTTGTTAATAATTCATGAAAAAAAAAAAGAAATTTAAGTTTAATGAGTGTCTTTATATCTGATAAAGACACCGCTAAAGTTTACATCCAATTTTTTTACAACCAAAATAACCCCAAATCTAGATATTAGTGCAAGAATGAGTTGATCCATATCAAAGATTTTGAAGCTGTTCAAAAAACACGCAGTCATGTATTATCAGGTTTAAAAACTATCAGCTTTGCCTTTAGTTTTTAAACCTGATAATACACTCCTGCTTGCTTTTAAACAGTACATAAAATTTAAATGTTAAAATCCCAAAGTTTCCGCTAAAACTTGGCCTTCATTATACAAATGCACAAAACTGATGCCTTGAATCATCAGAGGTGGAATTTAGTGGCATGAGCATTTGAATTTTTGAATATTTCTGTGCTAACTGAAAATGCTGGTCTACTAAAGGTGGACGGTTTTTTGTCTGTCATCATTAAAGGATTATTTTGCTAGTTTCTGATTGAGGATGTAATATTTGGGACAGGTTTTGTTTCAAAACTATATTTGGTCCACTTTAGAGATACATGTACAGAGGAAAGCAGCAACTACTAACACAACGGCATCAATTCTTTTGAATGTAGTGAAAGATAACTAGACATTGGAGGAAGATGGGCTTCATGTTTTCCAGCCTCACAGTAAAATGAGTAAAAACAAACTGCCAGATTCAGCCAAAAAAGCCTGTGTTGAAAGGCAGTTAACAGTAAACCTGACCACAACCTTGCATGCATGTATTAATTAACCAAATGATAAGTTGTTCCCCCTTCTAAGATCTGTCTGGTTCTATAATCTTTCTGCCTTCCACTAAATAGCCCCTAACAAAAGGTTCTCTTAAGATTAGTCCACATGCAAAAGTTTTGTTTAAAAGGACTAATAACTCACTAGCTTAAAAGTGAGTGGGTTCTTCCCAACTTTGTGAGGAGGGATGGGTTCAGCCAAATGTTTTTCACTAGTGTCCAACATCCCGGCAATTATGACCAAGGTTGCAATAGCCTTACATTGTACAGTGAGTGATCACATTTTCACTTTTAGCTTTAGGTATAGGAGGGCTCTTTTTCTAACCATAGAAATTACCTTCTTTATCTGAGTCTTCAGTCACATCGTCCCGTCTCTTTGCTGCTTGCATGACAGTAAGTTGAAAGGGCTTCACACAAACTGGAGAATTAAATTAAAGTTTAAATATTTATAAGTATAAGAAAATTCCAAAGCAACTATGACAAGTAACACAGTTGTCATGACCACAAGAAAAATGGTCAGTCAGTGGCTACTAAAATCTGGCTTCGGTAGGAGCATAAACCATCCACAAGTATGCTTGTGAATTTAATTTTTAAGGAAGATTTTGTTCACAGGTCAGGAGTCAGACTGAATTTTAATTTGCAATTTATCGCTCTGCCATTGGTCAAGCCAGTTGCCTGATTCTTTTCTGTTGCTAAATCAGCCTAATATATCGAACGTGGGTGGGCTATTCCTTCCTCCTACGCACGTCCTCACGCCATCTCTCACTACCAACGTTTGTCAACTTTTGCACGAGTAACCAAAACCGTGTAATTGATTATCGAATCAAGGAGTCACTAAATTTACCTTCTCTGACTACTAGATCGTTGTTTCATGACCCAATAATTTTCAGAGCGCTTTAAAGAAAGATGCACAACACAATAGGCACTTTTAAGCTAATGTTATTCAAGTATGCGATGCAAGTGAGCTTACACGTAAAAAAGTGGAGAAGTATTTTAAAGTTTAACCTCAGGGGACCTGATATGATACTTGCACACAATAAGAAGACACAGTATGCTTAGATTTCACATGAAAAAGAAACAAATTAACTTCGATTCTTACCTTGACAAGCACCGCATGCATTGCAATGCATGGGAACATCAGCAAGAAGCCAAGCGATGCAGCTTGATAAAGTTGTATGATGGGATGCTTGCTGAGAAAATCAACTCAGCTGATGTTTTCAGGTTTGCCCCAAGCAACAAAAAGTCGAAAATTTACCGCTGAAAGGGATAGAGACAGCGAGACACTTTGTAACTTCCACACTGACGTCGATGTAATCATGATCTACCTTTAATATGTGGGAGTGCCTGTCGATGTCTCTAACAATTGTCTTCGCATTCATTGGCTCAAAAGTGTCCCAGACGTATCAAGACGAAAAACTAAGAATCTGGATGGGGAATTCTAGGTTAGTTGAATGGACTTACATTGTAAGTTTTCGTCACATATAATCTCTATACTAGCGTCACAAATAAAAGAAAAAAAAAAATAATTTAAGCTTAAAAGTAAAAAAAAAATTGTATCCATCTGTGTATTCCGAAAATCGCGTGTTAATTTTATTTGACGTACTGTGTTTAATTTTATAGTTTTGTTCAGAGGAAAACTAGGGGAAAGGTATAAGCATGTAAGCGAGGAGGCAGGAGTTTAATTCATGAAAAGGAACTAATTCGTTTACCCTGGAAGGAGTAGTTGTTGTGTGGTTTAATATCAACTTCAACGATTCGATGAAGTTGCCTGATGAGTGTGGTCCTACAATTTTCGGACCATACGAAACAGCACTGTCGCAATAAACGATCAATGATTACTCCTGAAGCCTGAACTCCTGTGATTATTAATAGTCAATGCTCTTCAATTAAATGAATTGAGCGCTCTACGAAATACGTTCTACCCAGAATACAAGTGATATATAGATGTATGTATACATACTTATACTAGACTGTTCCGGTCGATGAAGCTATATTCTTTACTGAATTGTTCTTGTTAAAAAAAAAAATCAAATGTCCCTTGTTACCTAGCCAAAATACTAATTCAGTTTAGTATAATTGCGTTGATGATTATCGAAAATAGAGCGCTATGATTGGCTAGGAGCTTCGCTTCATCCCGTTACAATCACCGCGCGGTGATTATAGCATTGAAGGCTAGCAGTTTTCCAAAATGGCAGCCAGGTTTGTTGATGTTTCGGACTCGGAAATTGATCAGTAATTTTATTTTCTCGAATAATCATAAATGTAATTATACTAAAACAATTAGTCGCCTCAGGCGACTAATTGTTAAATAGAATATAGCTTGAATAAGCGTGGGCGATCACATGATAAGATCGGGTTTCAACAAGTCTATTGTTACACGAATCAGTGAAGAATGCACTTTAATTGCCTATCCTATACTATTTTCCTCTGTTGCATAACTGTTCAACACACGGAAACGCTGACATTTGGTATTTATTTTGATTCTTGTCTTGTTTTCTTTGATTAAAAAATGGCGTGTTTTTTGCCGGGTTCATTTTTGACTTCGCAGTTAATGTTTGATTTCAGAAATTCGTCCCTTCTCTAAAATGGCACTTTTGATTTCAAATGCTTACTGAATACAGGGCTAATGGGACTGAGGAAGCCAAGAGCTGGGAATGCAAAGTACGGGAGGTTGGGACATCCCTGCCCCCCCATGGGTACTGTATGTCTTTAAAAGATTTTTGTCCTGTAGGGAATGAGAAATCGCTCTTTGTTATCTTGCTCAGTAATCTAAATGGGTGATTCTCAACTAAATGCCACTTGTTCGTTAGAATCTTTCAAAGACTTTTTTTTTTTTTGAGGTCTTCTGTGGTTAGGGTTTGGGAATTTTTCTTGAAAAATAGTGATAAAAATAAAACTGAAAGAGAGTATGTTTCAAAACTTGAATTCCAAAAATCCAACCATTGTCTAGTCTGTCCAATATCGTCTCCAGAGCCACTCGACTTCATGTGACCCAGAGCAGAAACGACGGGGACTGGGGACATGAATGGGAGCTGCACCTGGTGTTCAGTTCTGAAGCCCAAATCAATGAGAATGTGTAAGTTATTCGTGTCATCTCCTTTACACATATAAAAAACATATGTACCTAGATAGTCCGCTTGAGCCTGAATTACATATCAGTGAGTTTCCGAGATTTCTTTTGGGGGAAAGCTAAGCCAATATATACAATATGTGCATGACGGTTCGAAATCATCAAATCCACCCCAAAATTCACCTGCACACTCAGGGGTAACGAAGTCATAAAAAAGCTATGATACTGACATCAAAAAGCAAATAAGAATGCTAAGCTTAATTAATTTATGGTCTTTTAGTTACCTTGGTGTATAATACATTAAGTAGAATTGTGTACTCCCGAGAAAAAAGCTAAGAAAGTAAGATAGCTGGAGATCCGAATCAGCTTTTACAACTCAAGGCAAAAATTCGTCAATACGATGGACAATTTAAATTTTTGTTGTGACGATTTGCTTGCTTAATGGTCTGCTTATGCTCTTAACAATCATGGGCAACGTTTTCGTGTTGACCGCAATGTTAACAACTCCTTCTCTTCGTTCACCGTCCACAATTTTCTTATGTAGTCTCGCTGTCTCAGATCTTCTTGTCCGGTTTGTTGTACAACCGATCTACATTGGATTCAGACTTAACCCAGGACCGGAATTAGAACACTTAGCCTACATCCTCGTCTCTTTGGCCTGTAGTGTTTCTTTTTGTACGATGACGGCCATCAGCGTGGATCGGTTTATGGCTCTTCATTTTCACTTACGATACCCGGATATGATGACCAATAAACGCGCTGTAAACATATCACTAAGTCTTTGGTTCTTGGCCTGCACAACATCGTGTATTAGATTGTATTAGCTTCGTAAACATAAGCTTCAGATTCAAATTCAACAGCAGCCCGCCATGCAAACTGTGATTGTTGATCGTAAACAGAACCTGGCGCGATGGAGAAGAAGTGCTTTAAACACCTCTATATATTACATTTGTATGATTCTGTGTTATTTTCCGATGTTTTCATCACTGTTACTTTTAAGCATTAACCCAAAACTCGAGAGACAGGAGTGGGATTTGAAAATGAATATGGTTTTTATGAACTCGTCCATTAATCCAGTTTTGTATTGTTGGCGTTTACGCGAACTTCGACATGCAGTTTTAAAGATAATCAAACATCTACTATGTAAACAAACGGAAGAAACCTAATTCTCCGAGAAGAAACCGTATTAATCAGTTCAGTTAGTTTTTCTGCTTTACTGTTGTAACACGAACGATGCTTTGGCTTAAACATCGCGTGAAAAAAATCGACCTTACTTCTAACGATGAAATAATTACAAAAATATGAATATAGTTCACATCATGTCACATCCGCCATGTTGGTGTCCCAAACCAGTCCTGTGGGAGTTGAACTCTTTTCTAATGTAAACACTTTTAAGTGCTAGCCGCGTGAGTGAAAACGCTCGATTGAATTTTCTGCACTGTCGTTATGATAGATGCTCCACTAATGTCGGCACATGCTCCATCCCCTAACACAGGATACGCTCCTGCCCAACAACAGCAACAACAACCACGCATTGAATGATAATTACTTCTTGTCATTGTAAGAATATTTCACATCTACACCATAAGTTACTTTTCTAAACATACTTCATTTTATTCTCTCTAACGAATAACGCGTGATCGTTAAACGATCTAAGGGTTTCACTCTTGAAAACTTCTTCCACTGTTACTAGATACTGCTGCCTCATTCCGAGGCTCGGTTGCACAGTACATCCTTCCCATTACACCAAGCGCTCCAAGCAAGAGCATGGAGGGACGTGGGAGACTGGGGACATGGCAGGTAAACAACCGTGTACATTGCTATTAAAGCTTGCCGCCCGCTTAAGTGGAAGAAGCTAAACAGGAGAGAGTACGAAACACAAGAGATGCAAAAGAGCGCCGGATAGAGAAGGCATGGGGAAGAAAAGAGGGCTTTCTTATTTTTTCGTTACGCGTCCTTTTGTGTTTACACGTGCACAATTCAATTTTTCTCTCTTTCCGTTTCAAGATTCCTGCATTTTTAGCTAAAGAAAATTCAAGGACCTTTTCAGGAGGACAGCCAATATTTGGACTGAACTATAGGCTTTATAGTTTTTGTCCACATCATTATACAGCAATTTTGCCTCTCTGTACGGTTTAAAATTGAGTTTTCTTTCTTCAAGGAGTGGCTTTTCTTTTGGAAGACTTCTGGTAATGAAATAAAGATGTCGCTTCTATTTTGCCAGCACCAGAGAGAGATTCAGCAAACATCTTTACAACCTAAACAGACAAGTGACAGGAAATGAAGATTAAACGCGACAAAGGAAATGAAATATTAAACGTGGAAGGAAAAGTTGCGGGCGCTCGAGAGCAGTTGGCTCGTTGCTTTACTGTGGTACTGTTTATTATGCTGTGCAAGGTGGTTCTAACGTTTGAGTCTGTGGATGAAGTCCTATGGTGTGACCATTCAAATGAAAGCTATTAAGCAGCACTCTCCAGTAGTGCTGTTTATTATTCTGAATAAGGTGGTTCTTAGGTGTCCAGATCTGGCCATTGGACGGTTGCTACCTGAAAAGAAGAATGACGTCATACCTCTAAGTTTGTGATGAGCGGGACACCGGTGTCGATAGACGCTCTCCTTATAAGGTAATTGTCCTTGATGTACTTTGTGTTCTGATTGGGCAGGTTGATGACGAGGTCCACGACTTTGTCCTGGATCAATCTACAACATGACAACATCGCATGATGAAGAACAGCTGTGAGCGGCCGAAACATCACGATGAATAGCGGAGTTTCTCTCGTGAGACACAAGATAACGGAACTTATGCATAATGACCCGCCGACAACTGCAATAACAGGGAGTTTAGGGACGGACCATTAGAAAACTTATGGGGGGGCGAAGAACAAAAAAAATATTCGCGCAAAGGAAAATTAAATGAAAAAAATTCGTGCACGCCAATTAACCCTAAAAAATATTCATGCTACGGCCTAAAAAAAATCATACCTGGAATTTGATAATGAAAAAAAATTCCTGTGGCTCGAAAATATCCCACACCCCCATAACTTTTCTAATGGTCCGTCGCTTAAGATACCATGGCGACGGCGGCAGAAAACGCCACTTAAAAAGTGACTTCATGTTCTTTAAACTGTAGCGCGATTATCACAACTCGCTCACTTTGTCTAATGTAGGAAAACTTTCCTGGATTTGAATTCCTAAAAAAAGATATTAAAGTTTAAAGAGAGAAAGAGAAATTCGTCGTCGTATGTTCACGTTGTCGATAAAACGTGAAATTAGGCAATTCACGTCGTAGTCGTGCAGTGACGGCAAAGAAATGTACAAAAAAGCGCAATGCACGTGCGAAGTTGTTGTTTTGCTAACCTAAACCTATTGCTTTTTGACGTTCTCGTTGCCGTCGCCGTAGTGACATCTTAAACTCCCTAACAACTATTGCTATACGGCTGCTCAGCCAAGATGAAATGAATGGTGTGTTATGATTCGTCTGTTTTAGAGGGCAAGATGGCTAAGGGACTGGGAATGGCTGTAACCAAGGGTTCTTTATACAGGGTGTCAAGCACTTTAGGGGTCCAAAAATATAGGAATATAGGACTCAACAACCTGAAAATATAGGACAAAACCCACCAAAACTGCAAAAATATAGGACTAATCTGACAGTCACTTTTAGGCCCAACGTAAGGTTCTTTAGTTTTAAGACAATTTAATATCATTATTTATATGTTGCCAATTGAAAGTCAATAAAAGAAAGACACTTTTTCGGTTTCAAAAATCTCTTTATTTTTTTTTTTCTGGAATCATTACCTCATCTTACTAACAATACGTTCTTCGGCTTGTGAGATCAATAAGAAGGGCAATCTGACATCCTTTCAGTTCAACAATATAAACAATATAAACTGGTTCGAGTTCAAAACTCAGTACTGACACTTTTGTGAATGCAAGTAACAAGCAAGGAAATTTATATGCTACAAGGCCAAATAACTCAACACATGGTAAAATGGGGTTGACAGACCTGCGCGGCTCCTGCTGTGTGACCGTTGTGTTGTTATAAGCCTTTACAGTTTTGCTTTAACAAGCATGTCTTTAAGCGACTTTCCTTTTCTATAAGAGATCAAGGGAGGTTCCTTGAATATCTCTCTGAGTAGTGGCTGGTTTTCTATTAAATGCCATTTTTCCATTAGTATGTTTTTCAAACCTGGTAATGACGGTTGAAATTGCGTGACAAAGGGTAAAAGCATTTTTTGCGCTTTCTGTTTTTGTGTCAGAGCTGTCGCTCTATCTGCATATTTAACTTCTGAGAGGATCTTTTCTACCATACTCTCTGGGTAGCCTCTCGAGATAAGGCGTGTTTTAAAGTTTTTAATATTCTTGTCAAATATGACTTTAGAAGAGTTAGTTCTTAGAAGTCTAAGAGCCTCTCCTTTGACAAAACCTTTTTTAACGCCTGGTAGGTGGCAGCTGTTAAAGGAACCTCCCTTGATCTCTTATAGAAAAGGAAAGTCGCTTAAAGACATGCTTGTTAAAGCAAAACTGTAAAGGCTTATAACAACACAACGGTCACACAGCAGGAGCCGCGCAGGTCTGTCAACCCCATTTTACCATGATAAACAGCTATTGTTAGAATACAAAGAGGATGGAAATGGATGTAAAATATAAACTCACCTCTCAACACCAACATGGCAGCCAGAAAGACCCCCCACAGTCAACCCACAATGCATTGCAAGAGTGCAAATTGGGCAATTTGCTTTCTAAGCTGTTTCTAACAGATATTTGTGACAAAAAATCTCCTGGATTGTGGATTTTAAACGCCAATACAACTTTTACATTTCTTGAATATTCTTTTTTTTACAAGAAGGCTTAAAATATAGGAAAATATAGGATTTACCTCAATTTATAGGAGTTTATAGGACAAGTCTGAAAAAATAGGACTTTATAGGATTTTATAGGAATATATAGGACGCTTGACACCCTGTTTATATAAAGGTTTTTTCCACAAATTTCTGTTATAAAGAAGTTTCAACGTATTTTGCCCACTCGGGTTTAACCGCTTTTTACCGCAAGAGCATATTTGGAGGTTCTTTTAATGACCATGCTTTTTTGATCAAGATAGCTAAAAATTGGCTTTGTCTCTGTCCACAAAATAAATCAATTAAATAATAAAATATAACAAATAAACGGAAAAAATAATAGATTGACGGAACAAGCCTGGTTAAGGAAGCATATTTAAATTTCTGTCCTAGCAGATGTTCATTTTTAAAAGGCAAAATAATATTATTTCTGTACAATGTACCTTTGTATTATATTGCCCGGGTATAGAAAAGCGGTTATTAAAAAAACACGACCTCTCGTTCCCTTTAGTGGCCACAGCAATAATTGTCAACACTGTTTAGATAAGATTTCTAAGCAATTTCTCATTATATTTCTTTTTATTGCAAAGGGACAAAACAAAGCCAGTTATATTGCTATCAACCAGTGTAATCACGTTGGGTGGAAATAATTTAAAAGGTATTGTCCCTGTGCGTTTTTCTCAATTCAACTTTGCAGGGAGTTTGATTACACTTGCTATGAAGGGGATGAATCAAAAAGGGACAAATGCTTTTAAAATGACACGGAGCACCACAAGTTATTGATATTTGTCTTTCAGTCGCCTCATTTTCGTGGTGTATTAAATTCTTATCACGGGGAAACCTTAAACTATGAAACTTTACTTGCTACCGCTCGAGCCAAAAATCTGAAAGAGGATGGATATTTTTATCGTGACGAATTGTCTGCTTAATGTTCTGCTAATGCCCCCATCGATCATTGGGAACGTTTTCGTGCTGGTCGCCATATTAACAACTCCTTCTCTTCGTTCACCTTCCATACTGTTCTTGTGCAGTCTCGCTGTCTCAGATCTTCTTGTTGGCTTGGTGGTACAACCGGTTTACATTGCATATCAACTTAACCCTGAACAGGGATTTAAAGATGCATTCGACGCTTTATCGTCTTTAGGCTGTGGTGTTTCTTTGTGTACAATAGGGAGCTTAAGCAGCGACGTTTTTGAGCGACGCACGTCAACCGGAAGTGAGGTATTTTCCCTCTTAACATGCCTTGATGATATAAAATTTGTATTCCTTAGCTTCTTTACTGTTATAGAGGCGATTTGACTGAAAATTTGCGCGAAACCACCGTCAAAATTTGAAAAAAGGCCACTTCCGGTTGACGTGCGTCGCTCAAAAACGTTGCTGCTTAAGCTCCCTAATGACAGCGATAAGCTTAGATCGGTTTTTTGCTCTTCATTATCATCTGCGATACCCGAATCTGATGACGAATAAGCGCGCAATATGCACATCCCTAACTCTTTGGTTCTTGATGTTCTCTGCATCATGTCTTTACGTATGGAACAGAACCTACGCGAGGATAGCCTTTGTCCCTGCAATTGCCATTTGCTTCTTGGTTTCTACTGTTTTGTACATCAGAATTTATCAAATTGTTCGTAGACATCAGCTTCTAATTCATTTTCAACAGCAGACAGTGCGAAATGTCAGTTCTGATCACAACCTGAACATCGCGCGATGGAAGAGAAGTGCTTTAAACACTTTTATATATTACATCTGTATGATTCTGTGTTATTTTCCAATGTTCACAGGAATAGTTGTTTTAACTATTCACAGCAGACTTCAGAGACAGGAGTGGGAGTTGACAAATACTGTGCTGTTTATGAACTCGTCAATTAATCCAATTTTGTATTGTTGGCGTTTACGCGAACTTCGAACTGCAGTTTTAAAGATAATACGAAAACTACTACGTAGACAAACAGAGGAAAACTAACTCGCCCTCCACCCTCTGAGATGAAAACAGCTAGTTTTTCTCCTAAGAAGGTTAACTGTGGCAGCTTTTCTAAGAGTTAAGGGAACTGAGTTCGTAAGTAACGAAGAAAAAAAATGATTTTTTTTTATTCAAGAGGCATGTACGGTTATAAGCAGTGACTAAAATCTACCTGGTAGCTGTCGAGTTTACTCCAGCACTGTGAAGCGGCCATTCTACTGGCTGAGCTGGAATATTGTGTTCATTCAGATACTGCGAGGTGGCTTCCGTAGCGTACAGCGTGAATCCCAGTTTATGCAGCTTGTTTGCTGTTGGAAGGAACTTCGGTTGCAAGGATTGCTGTTCAAAAAATGAAAATATAAAGCCATTAAATTAATGTATATAAAACTCACGATCATCTAGCCTTGGCGTTACAACGATTACGAAGTTGTCTGGCTAAATAGTGTGTCCCTTCTCACTTTAGTTAAAACGCAAGCCTACGATAACCCGAGCTGCCAACCTTTCCGTATTTCTGAAACCAAAGGCACCAACTCGACGCTTGGATTGACAAAATAAAGTTTAGAGGCATGAATGAAACTTTTCAATTATCCTCGACTTCTTACATAGTTTTTTTCGTGGAATGGATTCAGTCGAGAAAGATAGTCTTGTGTTCAAGTGTCAGCTGTTAGATGAAGGGTCTGTGGAGAGGGAGTAGAACTGGGGCGAGATTCCTACATGTAGGGGGGTCGGGTGGGAGGGGGGCTTAGATGACGTGAGAATAAAACAAATCTTGTCTACTCCCTAGAGAAATCTTGTGATTAACTTAAAGGTACAGACGTTTTTTACGGGTGGGGAAATCAAATTGCACAATGACCCACGTGCCTGATTGAATGAGAGCAGCGCTAGGGTGTCAATCAACGTACCTGAATACCAATCAGAATGCCTTTCTTAGGAAGCCGGAAGCCAGTTGACATCAAAGCCTTGAGAAACGCCTGATGAACATTCGCGCCAAAACAAGCAACCTGCAGGGAAACGACGCCAAAGTAAGTTAGTTGGAACAACGATTTTGGCGCGAAAGTTATGTTCAAAGAGTCAAAGTTTGCGGTTACAGTCAATTACTGCCTACAGCAATTCTTTTTTGTTCTTACCTCGCCAGTGGAAGCCATTTCACATTTCAACAGTGGATCGGCGTCACGCAGCCGAGGCCATGAAAACATTGGCGCCTGAAAAGAATACCCAACGAGTTAAGAAATAGGAACTAGTTGTCAAGGTTGTCCAAGAGTGGGCCGAGTGGTTTACGAGTCGAACTTCTGGGTTCGAATTCCTCTCGGACCTCTACCTGAAATCGTTTCTCGGTCGTCCCGAGTTGAAATCACGGGCCACCATTTCTACGTGGTCATCTAAGCCATGTCAGGTTATAGCCGTCTGCAGGGCAAAGGCAGTACCTTCATTTCTCAGTTATTTTAGGATCCCGAATATTGGTCTGCCCCGGGGATCGAACCCGCGACTTCCCGCCCAGCAGTCAAGCTAGTCCTGCCGCAGTTGCTGATAAAAAGTGTAAACAGAATAACCAGAATAGAATGCGCGGACAAACCTTGATGCCCACATATCCAGATGGCTGCAGGGGAGTGTCCAGATGGGGAAGTGTATGTTCTTGCAGGGGATAGTCCACCATGATCTTTGTTGCCACACCTATGAAGTCCGTTCCCACTGTCTTGGATACGAATGGAAACGAGCGAGATGCACGCAGATTGCATTCGATGACCTAACAGTACAAAAAGAATTCATCTCATGAATTAGATTGACTTGCAAGGCTTGTCATCGATGAGAAGATCTGTGATGAGTGTCTTGATACTCATAGCAAAGTGAACAAGTTTGATCATCGGTAAACGTAAACGTAAACGTAAACGTAATTAGTGGACGTACCATGATATCATTGTTCTTGGCTAAAAACTGAGTATTGAACGGACCAGAAATGTTAAATCTCTCTGCAATCTTTCGGGTGGCTTCTTTGACCTGAAAGTATAATAGTTAAAAATCCCACTAAATCAACAAAAGACAGAAAAAGTCGTACTATCTACGTTGGCTTGGTGTGTTATTAACTTTCGTACGCGTTTCAAAGGTCCTCGTTTCATCCGGGTATTCTGTGGCAGAACTAACGAATATGGTTAAATTTCATTGGAGGTGCATCAAAAGGCGTGAATGTAATATAATCGTTCAGGAGCTGTCTAACAAAAACGTTGCTCAGTGAAAGGATACAACCAGACACATTGAAATAATCACCCTGCACGGCCTATAAAAGGCTGCAGAACTAACTCGGGACACCGACTGTCAAAGTTTGTAAGCACAGAAAAGGGGACACCTCTTTTGTTACGCCTCTTAGAATTAAAAGCCAGTTGAGCTTTAGATCTACAGCGGTTTCTGGCATGACGTGGACACCCTCAAACTCGTAAGCGAGATAGCGCATGTCTGATCGCGCCCATTCGTGAGCTGTTGACATCAACCATACTGTAACTAGTGGCTTGTTGCACGTGGTCAGCCCCTCCCATATTGGTTAACGTAAGGGTTCTGCTCCTCAAGTTCCTTAGCGTAAACGAGGTGGCAGGTGCGTGACCAAGCCTATTAGTGAGCTACTGACATGGAACTATACTGCGATCATTTGCTAGCAGCACGTGGTCAGCCCCACCCGCTTTTGTACCTGCTGGATATCCTCCTCGCTGATTGTTTGTGAATCCTCAATGAACACAAGCATTCTCCACATGTTCAGAAATAGCGTGAGCAACAACCTGGAGGAACAAGATACCAAAGTCAAAAAACAGAGGTGTAAGAGCAGAGATAATCCATTAGAAGACAACTAATAGTTAAGTTAACATGAAGCAGAAAATGGTCAAACATCACAAACCTTTCCGTTCTTAGCGACGGCGTCCATTTCAATTTCTCGGGCACCTTCGATAAACTTTGTCATCACTACCGGATGGTCCTGTATTGACATCAACAGTTTATACCATTAGTTCTCCTCTAACTTCTAAGCTAACATCTTTTTGGCCGTAAACATTTTACTGGTATAAATGTATAAGTAGGTTTCAAAAGCAGGAAAACAGGAGGCCAAACGAAAATCTACCTGAGACACTCTCGCAGCCTCTTCCAAGAACTTCTTCACCTCCACTGGTCCGTAAGCAACATTCATGGCTGAACCGCTACACAAAGTACAAAATTAAACAGCCCGTGTCAAAGTAAACAAAGTTTGCACAAATTTAGGGTCGAGAAAGAGGTTTTCGAAGACTGCTTGGTTAAGAATGTTGGCCACGGACGACAAGCTGTCCACGAGAACCAGAGGCAGATAGCTGGGGCGAAGACTGCCTGTCCCTAAGTCTACAAGAATGCCCATCAGCAAGCCAGGGTGAATATCCAAAACGACCGGTTGAAAATTCGCATGTTAACCCTCTAAGCCCCAAAATCCACATACAAATTCTCCTAACTGATCTCCATACATTTCCTTACAGAATGAGTTGAGAGAATTTGTTCAAAGATCAAAGCATTTTCCGTTAGGTGATCATTTCGTTTATTCTCATAACCTTTACTCTCGATAATTGGCTGATATTTTTAGGAGAAAATTGATGTTGGTCACTCTTGGGACTTAAAGGGTTAAGGTGTTCCGTTCACACGGAACCACCTTAACCGTACGAAATTTATACGCTTAGCCGCTCTAAGTCTTTGTTATTCTTGTCATGAGAGAGAAATCGCATCTTAGCAGACACATCGACTGTATTCTACGTCATATTCATGTACATACATTTGCTTTCATCCGCTTTCATCTACATGTATTTAATTCTCGAAGAGGCATCGATTCCACACTAAAACCATAATTGACACAAGCGTCATTTTACACAGTGAAATGTAAGTTGTTTATGAATAAATAAGACAAAAATAACAAGTTGACTGACATAGAATCTGTCGGCCAGAATTAGAAATGGCTGTTTTTACTTCTGTTTTACCCAAAGAGAAATTTAAAGGGTTCCGAATAAAACGCCAAAAATGGCAGGAAATGAGCTAGAAAAAATCCTCTCGCAAGGGCTGGTTTTTACGTGACTAAGAGTGACGTCATGGATAAGGTTTAAAGTTGGCGTCAAAATTTAAAATTCAAAACATTATTTCAAAGCCTGCGTAGCAGTGATGAATATTTTTTTGCTCAGCCGTGTGATGCAAACGAAAACGCAGATGAAAACGCCACTGCGATTTCACATACGCTATGCAGTGATACAACCCAGACACAAACACAGAAAGAAACGCACGCGCATTTGAGTATCAGTAAAAAACGAAATTTTCCCGATATTGACAAGTGAACAATCTCAACGTACTGAATGCAAACAGAAACGCGACTGTTTTTCTTGCGTCCAACGCATGCAATTAAACGCAAACTTGTGCGCATCAGGTTTAGTATTGAAAAAAAGCAGAGTAACTATTATGTTGACGCAGCGATTGTTTCGACCAAGACGCGAGAACAGGTAGGCACCGACGAAAATTAAGAGCTTGCGTTAACTCACTTCACACAAATGAAATGATAGCGCAAGAGCAAACTAAACGCATGCGCAGGTGAAAGGAAATTTTTCCTCTGCATTAATTGTTTTATAAGCAAGTTTGAAAGACCTCATATTTTTGATATACCTGTTACTTAAGATAAGCTTCAAACTCTTTGAGATTTGTAGCAAACAAAGTTCGCCATTCATTCTGAATCCAATCCATTCTACAGGGGCACCCAACGACAATTTTCGGAAAATATCTGTTCGGAAGACGATTTGAGATCTAGAATTTTCGGAACCGTTGTTGTAAAATTTCTTGCTTGCCTGCCTCTCCTAGGATTTTCGAACATCTAAAAAATGGTCTAATTGCCTATTTTTAACGGATTTTTACCCTAAAAAGGTCACCTAGAATTTTCGGGAACCTTTTTTCTGGCTGGAATTTTCGAAAAGGTAAGTTTTGATCCCTATAATTTTCGGATCACTAGACTTTCAGCTAGGAAATCCGAACAGATGAAAAATTTTTAGCGGATAAAAATGTGCCTATATCTACCGTTTAAATACTGAAATACGTTTAACAATGCTACGTTTAAGTGGTTTTGAACTATATTCTCGTTGGGTGCCCCTTATTCTATTCCATTCATTCAAGGAAAGCTTTCTGCCCTGAAGACAGTCAGTGGAATTGAAAACAATAATCACTTTTGAAAGCATCTTCTGTCAGCAGCTTTGTATTGTTATAAAACAAAATGAAAAAAACCTAAACGACTAATAAGAATGGTACAGTTTTTTTTACCAATCACCACATTAGTTGACAGAGTTGATGGAAACTTTCTACTACGTGTTTTGCAGCAAATGGCCAGAATGGAACTTCCTTATAACCCCGTGAGAAGTCAAGCCTAATTTTTCTCGTTCTTTTCCTGTTTCTTAGAACGTGCTTTACTTCTCTCCTTGTCTGCGAATTAATCTTTATCTTCCATATATTTTTTTTAAAGTGTTGTATAAATCCAAAGCTCTTTATATAGAGAAAAGCAGCAAGCCCGTTTTGTTATGATGGCTTCTAGGAAAAAATCTAATCAGACTAAGGTCCGTTTCCTGACCGTTTGTTTTGCTGTTCTTTTGATCCCTTTCTTATTTCCGGCTCGATTTATTTTTTGTTTGGTTTATACGACCTTGCCTTCAAGGTAAAAGAGCTTAATTTCTCGTTGCCAATCACCAAAAAGCTTTGGTTCGTTTTTATCCGCTTTTAAAGATATTTTTGTAATCCGGATTACTCAGCCACTTGATGAAACATGCTACTAAAGGAGCTCCACTGTTGTGACCACAAAAATTTTGTGTAAAAGCCGCACGGTCGAATCGACTTTGCTAATCAAATGTGATCATCTGCCCCCGGAAAGATTTATCAGACATCTTTTGTTGTAGCGAATGAAATAACTCCGAAAAAAAGCCATCTAATTTCCATTTTGTTGTCTCTAATCTAAAGCCCAGTGAGGGCTGTCAGTGGGGGATGTTTCTGGCGAAAAGAAAGCCGAAATACAACGCCTTTGTTTGCCATGAAACAAACAGGGTGCAAAATTCAACGGTTTTAATACAACGACCGTTTGTTAAATCGTGTTTTGATGACTACAACGGTTTTAGTAACTTTTGTTGTTCTCTTTTTATTTCATGTAGTAACTTTGACTCGCAGTTTCTTTAATTATCACCCGCGATGCAATGACATAAAACAATTTCATGTTTGTAGCTCAGTTTTTGATCAGTTTTGATGCCTGTACAGTACCGCAAATGATCCCCAACCGCAAATGATCCCGAGACCGTAAATGATCCCCAAAATGGACCGCAAATGATCCTCGACCGCAAGTGATCCCGAAAGTCGACCGCAAATGATCCCGTGAAAACTTGAGGAATGGAATGGATTTTATGGGACTGATGACAAAAAAGGACTGATTATAAAAAAAGAAACCTTTTTCTCTCGCCTTTTAAATAAAGACGGAAGGAGGCCAGGACGCTACATCTCAGGTCAATTTATACAAGGCGAAAAAAAAATGGAATAAATCTGAAAAGGTATCATGGTATTAACCGTAAACTTCTTCCTTTGTCGATTGCTTCAATTTTCTTTCAAGAATGTTTCGTCTTTTGAAAAATTTAAGACAGGCAGGGCGTTACGTAGAAAAAACTCTATTATCTTAACGCCTAGAAGCTCAACTTTTCTACTGAGGAATACAAAGCCGAGCACCCTCTACATAACAAGAGCTTTATTGACTTCACTGATCTTTTTGAAAGCGTGAAATTAATCAGCCAGAATATTTAATTTTGATTTTTCTTAAAGTGTTGATTTTACGTGATAAACAGCAAGACATTTGTTCGTAACTTAGGTGCCCGTTACGAAACAAGACATGATTTAACATAAACACAAGTCAAAATGCCCCCGAACTTATCAATGTCCACAGGTTTCGGTTTATTTCGAAATAGCAATTTTCTTACAGCTCATGAACGTGTTGTGAATAGTTATATTGGCGCTTTTATGTATATTCATTTGTTGTGCCTTTGCTGAAGACAGTTACCAGGAATCTAAACTTGGTAATGAGAAACTCAAAGCCAGGTAAGCGGTAGCCTGTGACCAAAGGCCTGTTCACAGGCTAGGTAAGCGGTAGTTATTGCGTGACAAAACATCGTAGGAAACCGTCACATTCACGGACTAAAAGAAAATCGCTCATGATTATTCGGATCCAGGAGGCACTTTGGAGAAAATTAAACAACCTTAAACCCTTATTTAGCGGCAATGAAGAGCACTGCATTTCAAAAGAGGTCAAAGGAAATGCTCTTGCCTCAAATCACATTTGCTCAGTCAAAACGTTTTCTTCAGAGGTATAATCTACCCGCCAGAGCCGGAAAAAAGTCATTGGAACAAGCAGCATTTTAGCATGAGGTAAAAGTCGTGTGTTGCCTACTGACTTCGTTTTTACACTTGAATGTTTTTTTTTTTCATTTAGTTTTTATTCATATATTTACTTGAGAAGTAAAATTTAGCTTTTAATCTGAGTTATTGTAATAATAGTAAAATCGACACGATGATCCGCTAACTTGAGTCCAAGTCATTCCTATTTTTCTTTCGGGATCATTTGCGGTCGACTTTGGGGATCACTTGCGGTCGAGGATCATTTGCGGTCCATTTTGGGGATCATTTGCGGTCTCGGGATCATTTGCGGTTGGGGATCATTTGCGGTACTGTACATGCCCAAGATAATGTGGATCGATAGAAATCTTAATGAACCGCTTTATTAAAGTTTGTTTCTATTTAAAGACACTCAAAAAGTGGAGAAGATAAAATTAAAACCATAATTTTTAAGTGACACCTGTTTCCTGAACGTGTTTTTCAAACTCGTGCTTGCTTTGTCTAGAGAAAGAAAATCGATTAAAAAAGGCGAAAAAATGCAACCTTCACAGTCTTCTCAGTCTACAGTATCACTCTTCGCCGACTTTTGACACTTTTGGTAATCCTCAAACTCCATTAAAAATCATCGGTCGTAATCTGCCATATCGCTTAATATACACAGCCTAAACGTTCCATCCGATTTTGTCGATTTTGCCTTAAGCCATTTATTTGATTTAAACCATAATCTTTGTATAGAAAGCCACACGTTTTTGTTCTTAACAAACGTTAGTCACGCATGGTACTTTTTGCTTTAGCGACTCTCCGGCATGAACTCTTTAAAATTCAGTTCATTTTGTGGTATTTTATTCCCCTGAAATTTAGCTTAAGTGTGGAAAGTCTCGATGATTTGAGCTTTCCGGAAGGTGGATTAACCAGCGATATATAACTGAGTTTTCTACCTAAAAAACCGGAATCCATATAAACACTGTATCGCTACGAACACCCTTAAATCTCTCGAATTACTTTTGCAATGGACAGACGTTCCTAGCTCGTTATATTACTTTCACACAAAGCGCTCTTGTAGCCGAAATTATCATTCAACTCTTAAAACCTTTCACAGTTGACTGTCATAATCAAAGATAATAAATGAATAAGGAATTTCTACATTGTTTTCAACCTGTTTTAGTTTATGAATAAATTTGAAATATCTTACCTCTTCGAAAGCTGCTCCAATCGATTTCCTTGTTCAACAAAATGTTTAACGTTTGATAAATAGCGAGGCTCCCTCGAAAATAAGGTCGAAGGTTTCTTGTTCCACAGCGAGACGAATATTCTCTCAGTTACAGGAAACTATATTCAAACAAAAGGCCCATGCACTCAGGGAGTCATTGTTTACAATGACATATTTCGCTTTCCGATTGAGCTGTAAAAGTTAGCCATTGTTTACATGCATGGTTGAGACCCAAATAAACTTTGTCCAAGCCGGTTATATTTGTCTCCTCTCCATAAATCTTTCGTCCTGTGACCTGTCATTTCATTTTATTAAGGACGTGGCAACAGTGCTTGGCCAGAGAAACACGAGATGGGATTTAAAAGATAAATATGCAAAATTTGCAAAAGACTATAATCATTTTGAACTTTAATTGGTCTAAGTTTCAATCTGTCCAATTATTATTCAAGACATGTCGGCCTTTACAAATATGTTGTTAGATTACGAAGTTGTGCGATTGTGTACACAGAGCTTATGAAATATACAGGTGATTTGTTAATAAAACACTTGCAGAAGAAGGTGAAGGCGCTCGAAGGAACTAGTTTGACGTCACAATGGCAATTGTTTAGACCTGAAGCCGGATCGTACTGAAATCCCGACGAAAATTTCATTTACAATACCACAGAACACTCTGGCATCCTTTGTTAATTGCTGGCTTTGAATACAATATTATTTAGTCATATATGCAAAGCCCATGCTCACGTAGTAATGAGGTTAATTAGGTTAAATTATCCCTTTCCCGGTCCCAGATTACTTCAAATCCAGATAGCATTGCTCCCTTCTTACAGCCAGGCTTTGAATTTGCCCAGTCCCCGTATGGCGTCTTCGTAGTCCTTCTCGGTCAATGCATTTCGGTAACGTATCTGAGACCTCAAAAACTCGCTCGGACCACGTGATCCGAACCGCATCGGCTGCGCGCAGTAATGACGCCTAAAGACTAGGCAGGGTTTGAATTAGGACATCGAGTAGTCTCAGTCTCTAGTTAAATTTCAGAGCCGGTATTGAAACCCGCCAAGAGCCGCAATTCCCATTAGTCACACAATTTACTCCATTTTCCTCTCCCCTCTCATCCTTAACGTTTTAGGGACCACCCTCCTCTCGCGAGGTTCTGCGAGCCCCTCCCCGACCCCAGAAACCTCCAACGCTTGTCGAGACCCGAGGGTAAAGTAACGTGCCTGAGGCGTTATTGGGAGCACCAAGAGGGGTTAAATAAGGGCGCGAGCGCGCAACGAAGCAGATGAAAGTTTACCCCCGACTTGTGATCAAGAATAGTTTGATAGAATAATCCCAAAAACTCTCAAAATGAACTCGATATTTAAAACAGGTCGCCTAAAATACTGAAATCCCTTTTGCCGGCCATGGGTAGCATAGAAGCGGGGAGATCGTTTTCTTCTCTTCGGGGAATCCATACTTTGCTTCACAACACAATAAACACCGAACGACTCAGCCATCTCTATGCATGATGATAAAGTTTCCATCAATAAAAGGCTGGTTTGCGAGAAATTTGTTGCGCGGCACCGCAGACTAACGATGGTGACAAGCAAGTTTCTTGCCGGGGTTTCTTAAAACAGTTTAATCTACACTTTATTTTAGTGTTATGCTTGATATCGTATGCTGCAATTGAGTGCGCGATTTTAGCGCTGTAGTATGTGGCGTTGCGTGATCATTCGGTGTTGTTTGTTGGGGTTCACCTGTTAATGGTCATCTCCTATGTTAGCCGGCGAGGAGGACCCGAGATAATTCATTTTGTGCAGATAGCAAACGCCCCCCAACCCCAACACCCAAACCTCAAGTGCTGAACCCATCCGTTTTAGATACAAAGTTCATATCTTAGCCGAAAGAGAAGTATCCGTACGGTAAAGAGAAGAGGGGCTGCATAGGCCTCCAATCCCTCCCACCCCGTGTCTAGATCACATTTGCTTCTTCTGTACGGTAAACATTTTGCTGAAGGATGGACAGTTTGATTTACTATGTGTACAAAAAATTCTAAAATGACGCTTGGTGTAGATCAGTGAAAGTATGATCACATTAAGCTAATAACACGCCCATACAGGAAAATTTCTTAATGTATATGTCATATATAGCTCTATGCGTACCTTACGAGCAGTGGTTTAACTACTGCTCGCGGGGTGCTGTATGCATGGCTATCTAAATTGATCATATATGTCTATCAATTTGTGACAGTGTCGCCATAATGGATACTTTCCAGAGATAATAGTAAAGCGTCATCTACATATGAACCGTTTTAGTTTGTTTAAATACACATTGTTAATATGACGTTACTATATTTACGCAATACTATATAAAGCCACCGCGTCCAAAAAACAATTTTCCGTAGTGTTAGTTATATTTCCCAGAATGTTGATCAATCTCAAATTGTACTATGTAAAGTTATAATATATCACATGTAGCTATACTGTATGTACAACTATCTCAAATGAATAAATACAGTGTCTATCAATTTAATCCAGTCTCTACAATAGCATTGCTGGAGATTTTTAGTTCCGCGTTTTCCATATGAACCTTTTAACTTTTGAAATCACAACCTGTTCAAGTACACTATAAAGACATAGTAGTGTCCAAAAACAATTTCGCTTCACCTAAAACTGAAAGTATTATGAAAGTAATACAACAGAAAATCGAAGGGCTGCGAGATTGCTTTGAAGTTACCTGATCACTGAGAAGCTTTGCAGAAAAAGAAAAACAACTTCTTTTTAAGGCTCCAAAAACGGCACTGAATCCAGACTAAAATCAGCGCTATTCAGGGAAAAACCAACACATGTTTAAATGGATTAGATAAGCGTACTTAACAGAATGTTGTCATTAGTTTTAAGATACTTTTAGCTTCCTGGGTTATTTTATTACTAAAGAGGTTTGGGTAGTATAGCGGGATGCAAAATCCTCGAGAGATGCCAGATGACTGATGGAGGAGTTAAACGCTTCACTGCAGCACTCACATACACTAAGCTGAAACCTCCATAGTACTAATGAAGACACTAATGAAGGAGTTAAACATTAAAGAACTGTATCCCGCTAAACTACTCAAACATTAAAATGTTTTTAGTTCGCAAAAACCCTGACTGTGTTCGTTGCCAGGTAACAACTTCGCAATCTCAATACATCCTAGCGACTGAAGTTTGTTGAAGCTTAAATCAAAATCCAAAATTCCTTCACCAGAGAAACATTTACATTGCAGACATGGCTTAGAAAAATACTTTACAGTTTATGTTCACTGAGTTTAGGAGATTTTTACCTTTATCAGTTATGTTGTTATACCCGAGGTTTAAGCTGTTTAGTGTGCAGTCAGTGTGTGTGAATGCTGTAGCTAAATGTTTAACTGCTTCATCAGTTATGTTGTTACCCCTGAGGTCTAAGCTGTTTAGTTTGCACTTAGTGTGTGTGAGTGCTTTAGCTAAATGTTTAACTGCTTCATCAGTTATGTTGTTATTATAGAGGTTTAAGCTGTTTAGTTTGCAGTTAGTGTGTGTGAGTGCTGTAGCTAAATGTTTAACTCCTTCATCAGTTATGTTGTTAAGACTGAGGTCTAAGCTGTTTAGTGTGCAGTTAGTGTGTGTGAGTGCTGTAGCTAAATGTTTTACTCCTTCATCAGTTATGTTGTTATTACTGAGGTTTAATCTTTTTAGTTCGCAAAAACCCTGATTGTGTTGGTTGCCAGGTAACAACTTCGCAATCTCAATACATCCTAGCGACTGAAGGTTGTTGCGGTCTAAATATAATTCCAAAATTCCTTCAACAGATTTAAGTGCATGCACTAATGCTAAACAGTCGAGAGGTGACAGGTTACAGTCACTAAATTGAAGCGCTTTACAACCAATTTTCGCCAGTTTCTTTTGAACTTCTCGATCAGAGGCATTGTTCTCATACATGCAATTGAATACCGTCACCACTAATAACCTGTCTTCTTCAAAAGCTGGCCAAAAGGTCCGTGTTTCAGTTGGTTCCTCTGAATCTTCATTCATCTTGATTCTAACTTCTTCAGTATCCGTTTCTGAGGGAAGAAGGTTGCTGAAAATATCTGTTGATTTTCCTTCTTTTTCAGCCAGCAGTCCAGCCACAAACTGCATCACAACCTTCCACGCGCCATCTTGGATGTGATCGGAAACAAACTTCTGCAGGTCTTCGGGACTGAACGTGTCCACCAAATACTTCGCCGCCAAGTACTCCTGTATCGTCAGGTGTAAAAAGCAATATTGTTCTCTTCCCTCTGCTAAAGGATGGTCTTTAGTGACAGGTAAACAGTGAAACAGGCCATTACTCTCTAGCCTGTTAACCTCATGCGATTCAAAAATTAATCTTCCCTCTTGAATGCCATTAAAAGCAATTTTTCCCAGACTTGTGAACTCCTTTTGCACAGAGGAGGGCAGTTCCTTAAATGGTTTTAGAAAGAATTGTTGTCCTTCAGTTTTGTTGTGGCGATACTGACCATCATCGTAACTAAAGTAAAACATCTTTATTGCAATGGAGTATATTTCTGTCAGTCTTGTTGGGAGGTAGTGGAGGCTGGTTAAGCTAGTGTTGACAAGCAACTCTAACAAGCATGAACAAATGATGAAACAATTTACAGGAATGTAGCAGAAGGCTAGAAGGTTTAAGTTACTGGTGATGTGTTGCCTTATGGTTTCTGCTTTGTCTTCCAGCTTTGTAAACTTCCCTACATAGTCATTCACTTGCTCAGTTGTAAACCCCAGAATTTCAACTGCTCTGTTAAAGTTAAGACTTCTGACACATGACACGGCATTGGGTCTTGTAGTCGTTAAGACTGTCGCGCCGGTAAGAATTTTTCCCGTTACTATTTTCTTCAGCAGGAAGTGGACAGGCATCTTGTCTTCTTCATTGTTTCTGTACGGAACGTCATCTTTACTGATTTCAGTCCTATAAGAATACTCGTCAAATCCATCAAAAATCACCAGTACTCGCTTTGGGTTGTGACGAATGTAGTTCCAGATCTCTTCGGAAAGAGCTGTTGAATATTCTGAGTGATCCAGAAGCTCGCGAAGATTTAGTTTTTTGCTTCTAGTGTTAAACATCCTCAGCTTAATGAGGAAGGCAACTTTAAAATCTATTTGCGATTTTTGAGTTTTGTTAAACAAGGTGTCGGACGCCCAGTCGCGAAGAATCTTTGTGCTGAACATGGTTTTTCCAATTCCAGGACGACCAACAACAAGAATCTTCCGTTTTTTTGCACCAAAAATATCTCCTGGACGCGTTGGTCGCAAATTTTCATTGGCTTTGTGGTACTCTTGTAGTTGTTTCATTCTGTCTCCAGAAAAGTTATACTTAACTCTCCCCTCATAAATAATTAAATTGGTGAAGATCTCGTCAAGCTTCAGATCTCTTCTGGGTCCTTCACCTGGATTATGAAAAGGTGATTTAAGATCTCCGTAAGGCTGTTCAGTGACTTCTCGGACATGTTTCTTCATATCTTCGATGATGGAAGGAACTAATTTTCGTTCGTTAGTTTGAGTGCGGTTGAATGACGAGTCATGTGACGCGTTGCCGGATGAAGATGGTGATGGTCTCCTTTCGGTTGGACCGTCCTTGTACTCATGTTGCTGCGGCCCTGCCGTAGAAACAATCAATTAACACTCTTTACTTGAAAAAGTGGTTAACTAAAATATCAAAATATCACTATCGATGAGAATAACATGGAAAAGTATCTTTCAGAACAGTAATTCATATGAACCAGTAAGGCCCGGTTCAGACGCCGAACTTTTCATGAGCCGAACCTAATACATTGAATTAAGTAAATGAAAAGTTCGGCGTCTGAATCAATTAGGAACGCCTGTTTCAATTTGGAACGGTTCAGCCGTTCTTTTCGCCCAGCCCGGCCGAGAATTTCGCCTCTCGAGCGACTTTGGAACCGCTTTGATTCAGACGCCGAACTTTCCATGTACCGAACCTAATGCCCCGGGGGTACTGCCATATATGGGCTATATAGGTACGTGCCGCTGTGAAGGGTATGGTTTTCAAGCAGTTTACTGTAGGATAGGGTATATAAATCAGAACATTTGGGTTTAGAATAGGGTATCATTTTTCAGGAAACTGATCAGTTGGTTGAAGATTTTACTTAGACTAGGGAAACAGCTACTCTAGGATAGGGGGGATTTGGGGAGTTTTCTCTAGTATAGGGTAGCAAAATTTAGCTGAACTAGCTTTGGTATAGGTTAAGGGTTTCAGGGTCCCAGCGGCACATCCCCACCCAGAAATTCCTAAAGTACTCCCCCCCCCCGGCCAAATGCATAAATCATTATAACGTATTTTGTAAGCAGTTTGACCCAAATGAGCATTTTTCACCTTTTGAACTTAGTTCAGCTGCAATTAAGAACGGCGTCTAAATCAATTCAGCCGGTGTAAATAATTTGGGTCGACCTTAATTCGAATTAGGTTCGGCTCATGAAAAGTTCCGCGTCTGAACCGGGCCTAACAATCTCGAATCTTAGTCAAGTGATTTTACCATTTAACAAAGAAAAACAGACAAAATGACTGATTGATATATCATGATGACATCAAAATCGTTCAAATCGGGGTTAGCGTTTTTATCATGCCAGAGAAAAGAAGGAATCCTTCATTAAACTTTCTGCTAACAACATTTTTAAACTATCACAGGAAAAATAAAATATGATATCAAGATAAAAATTTTAAACAGAATATTAAAAGAAAATGATGATAAAGCAAGAGATAAATCAAGATATACGGATTACCGACAAAGCTTACAAGAAACATGGGTTGTGGGCGTACCGTGTGGTTTGTTGAAATATTCGTTTATCTCCACCTTAAAGGGAACCTCCACTTCAACAAAAAGAGAACTTTAAATCACAGGAAATAACTGTTACAGTCAATTCAATCTAAAATATTTTTAAAGAAAGCGTTTGTATCCGAAAGAAATAACTTTTAGATTCGCCTATTTTTGTTTTCAAATTTTGCGGGCGTCGCCATCTTGAATAATTGTGACGTGTAATGGTTGCCCTATTGTTATTAAACAAAAGCTTTTTGTGTCAGAACAATAGAGTAACCGTAACACGTCACAATTATTCAAGACGGCGGCGCCCGCGAAATTTGAAAGTGAAAATAAGCGATTTTAAAATTAACTTTTCCTGATATAAACACTTTTTTAAAGACAAATTTCGAACAAATTTCGAACAAATTTGTTTATCAACATAATTTTATTCGATTTAAACTTATTCTGTAGTAAGAGTGGAGGTTCCCTTTAAACAAAATCCAGGCTTGTCCAATACAAAGGGAACACATTCACCATTTCAACCAATCACACAAATGAAAGACATTGTTTGACAACTCCTATCACTCATCTGACTTATGCAACTTCCATCTAAACTTACACAATTTGAACAAGTGGTGTGTATTGGACACCTGAATTTGGGATAATACATGTGTGTACCCAAAGTGCGTATAATTTATACCATGTAGCTATCTGTGACTGTATTAAGTAACCCATCAATGGATTCAATAAATCATAATTTTTATGCCCTTTATGAGAATGATTACCTTGATAATGAGGCCATGAATGAAAAACGCAGGGTTCATTCAAAATGTGTGCAACAAGAGATGCTGCCATCACACTTGCACAGGAAGACCAACTCTCAGAAGTCAGCTGAGAGCCATCTGCATAATCAGCTATTCCTTTCACAATTAACCACTCAATTTGACAATCAAATGCTGCTGTAAATAGTCCTGTAGGAAAACAAAACAAACATTACATTAGTTTTAAGACGGTCCAGAGTACATGCACAAAAAAAATTGTGTGGATCTCAGAGACATCATGCAGCTGCTATTGCTTAGTGAAAACTTACCAACAGAATTAAACTATTTACCTTAAGCATCTAGTTAAAGTAAAGTTAAGATTAAAGTTTATGTAGTCTTAAGGGTATATGTATCCTCAGCTGTATCCTATTCTATGAGCAGTTAACTGGGCTAGTGTGGCTTTTTTCCATAGAAATATCTTAAATTTAAATCAGTTTAAATCAATCACAACTACACAGACTATAAACCAAGAACTGAACAAATTTTCAGAGTACGGAAAAACAACAGCAGCCATTTTTGCTTAAAAGGTCTGTAAATGTGTAATATTAAAACTCAAAGATAAATGATGGCAAGGTGCCTGCAAGGCTTGTGGACCCAAGATGCTCCCAAGTGCAGCACATAACCTCGACAACCCTGTGAGTAGCATCTACCATGGCACCATCTCACAGCTTAGCAGTGGAACATTCGCGCCGCATACTTAACATATACTTACTAAGGGGAGGGCGGGGTAAGGAGCAGAACATGTAACAAGCATGACCTTGACAGCTCACTACAGAAGTTTTAAATTCCCAAAGTCCCCTGCAGGGTAATTTGAGCATCAACCACATACAAAAGGCTCCTGGCCAGCAAGGTGTTGAATTTATTTAATATTTTATGCTCTCTTTCCACCTCAAGTAAGCTCTAAATGTTACTACCATTCTTTAAACCTAAATCATGCTGATTCATGAAGAAAATTAAGGAAAAAAGATTTACCTTTTATGGAAGGTTTCAGTTAACTTTGTATACTTGCAAAAATCAAACATGTAGAGTTTTCTTACATATAATGTTGGTTGTGATGACCAACAAAAACAACAGTCAACTTACCTTCTCCTTCATTTTCCATTGCTATTGCCTGAGGATTTATTTCAGCAAGTTGATCACGCTGCTGTCTAGAAATGACTTGTTCTGGTCCACTCAGAAACTCAGCAGCAGTATGAACTTGAACTTGTTGAGCATCAGCAGGGTTCTTCAAAGGTGCTTTCCAACCATCAGCACAATTCTTAATGACATCCAGGAAGCGTTTGCTCACATAACTCCTCATGCCAGTTGACTGCTCTTGATTATTGATCACCACTTTTGATGCATATGTTGCTAATTTGGCAGAAACAACAACATCTCCTAACTTGCATTTCTCAGGGTCAAGACCACTACATGCACCAACAGATATAACTGCTTTAGGTCTTAGCACAGTGGCAGCATTCTTTACAGAGATGAGAGAACCACCAGGACAACTACTGTTCTCATAACATTTTAATAATGCGACTGTTACTTTCTCTTGACTTCTAGCCACGTCAGAAAAGTAAACATACCCAAGACCATCAAAGTGGCATCTATAGGGGTTCTTAAGCTCACTGTAACAAGCTGAGAACTCACAATTCTTCACTGTCAGTAACAAAACATCAACAGGGAGATCAGCAGGTTTGGTTGTTGTGTTAATGTCAGCCGAGGATGGACAAACTTTATTAAGCTGAGGAGGGCCTCTAATGGGCTTCTTTGCATTGCTTGCAGTAAAGTTTACATCAACAGGAAGATCAGCATGTTTTCTATTTTTTGCCTTAATGTCAGGCAAGGATGGGAGAACTTTATTAAGCTCAGGAGGGCCTCTAATGGGCTTCTTTGCATTGCTTGCAGTAAAGTTTACATCAACAGGAAGATCAGCATGTTTTCTATTTTTTGCCTTAATGTCAGGCAAGGATGGGAGAACTTTATTAAGCTCAGGAGGGCCTCTAATGGGCTTCTTTGCATTGCTTGCAGTATTGTTTACATCAACAGGAAGACCAGCATGTTTTCTATTTTTTGCCTTAATGTCAGGCAAGGATGGGAGAACTTTATTAAGCTCAGGAGGGCCTCTAATGGGCTTCTTTGCATTGCTTGCAGTAAAGTTTACATCAACAGGAAGATCAGCATGTTTTCTATTTTTTGCCTTAATGTCAGGCAAGGATGGGAGAACTTTATTAAGCTCAGGAGGGCCTCTAATGGGCTTCTTTGCATTGCTTGCAGTATTGTTTACATCAACAGGAAGATCAGCATGTTTTCTATTTTTTGCCTTAATGTCAGGCAAGGATTCTCCCTTTGGGAGAATTTTATTAAGCTCTGGAGGGTCCCTGATGCACTTTTTTGGAGTCCTTTCCTTTCTTTCTCTCTTTCGATTGCTTTTTATCCTTCTTTTTGATGTGGTTCTTTGGTTCTTTGTATTGCTTGAGGCATTCTTTGAACTAGATGGCAGACGAGCAGTAATCTGGTGAGTGTTACCATCACTACCCTTTGATCTGCTGATTGCATTCTCAGAAGATTTGAATATCTTGGATTCTGATCAGTGGGGAAAAAAATAATTATTTAGGAATTCACTTAATAGTATTTTCATAGAATATGTTTTTTCACTTTCATTACGTAAATCCATTGTATATACTTTTTAAAGATGGATAAATAAAGCTTATTATTATTATTATGTTTGCTGCTCCTAAGATTTGCCCTTACACACACTTAATGAACTTAACACTATCTAATTCTTTGTCTTGTGGAAACCTTTTTAACTATGAAATCAGGGATAAGGACACAAACTAGAAGGTTTTTGAGCTTGCTCACTTTAGTACAGGGTTACAATTTCTGATGGAATGACGTCTTATCAAAATAGTATATTCAGGTAAAGCAGGGACAACTTATTGTTTAGAAAAAAATTAAACTTGATGATCATAGAGACATTTACAGTATCATCGTTATCTTGCAATGTCCTCTGCTACTGATATATGTATATAAATTCCGCAAACATAATTCCCACAAGTCCAAAAAAAAAGATGTTTGCAACAAACTGTCTCAATGAGAGTAAAGACACTTAGCAAACACTTTATAATTAATTTGGTAGCTTCAAGGCATGTCAAAAGGGAAAGGCCTCACATCAAGTTAAAAGGTGGCACTGATCAAAAAAGTCTTTGCTTGAACTCCCTAATAGCTTTCCTCTGAAATATTTAAATGAATAAATCAACAAAGGAATTTCTTTAATTGGCTTTCATTAGTTTTCTTGCAATGTTGGCACTTTTCAGGCATAATGAGATCCAATAATTCTCTACATGAAAAGTACCGGTATACACAAATGTGCACATGTTCACACATGCCACATATTCTTTTTTCTTTTCTCTCTCTCCCTTCAACTACTATTTTTGAGAGATTCGAGAACTCTAAAAGTTTAAATGTTTTTGAACTTGTGGAGAAAAAGCAAAATCCTAAACCATTTCGAGGCAGACTGAAGCCCACTGTTTTGCCTTAGCAGTATATATATGCATGCAAGTGAACCTACAATGAGAGACAATAGTGTTGAGACACTTCCCATAAATGGCCCCTTTTTGCATAGTAGACATACCTATCCCCTTCCCCTGTCTACCCCAATCCCTTCCCTCCAAAATCAATGTTGTATTTTGGACCCTCAAGTCTTTCTTTTACTTCAGACAACATTGATTTTGGGGTGAGGGGATTTATGACATTTAAAAGGAATGAAATAATAGATGAATGAAATTGTTGATAAAAGCACCTGTTTTAAACAAGTGTGTCAACTACTTGTGTCCCTGATTGTAGCTATCGTTCATCCACGCTTGTGTAGACAGACAGATTCAAATGATGTTAACAATTTTTAATGAACAAATCTAACACTTTTGATCAGCAATGCCATTCAAGAAGCTTATTATTATAAAGTCATCAGGGATACCTTCAGGGTCTACAGTTGTCCCATCCATTCGCTGAGAAGCTTTATCAGTGGATGAAAAAATTCTGCGTTTTGTTTCTGAAGAGCTCAGGTTGGTTAAAGAATCATCTGTTGATAAAAAAGAGTAGATAACAACAGGCTGTTTTGGTAAATGCAGATGTATGGAATAATCCCATTTGCCAGTGAACTGGCGATAAAGGAATTATGATAGATGGTTTGGGTCAATATTACTTTACTTTGTTTGCTTACATGTAACACAAAAATTAGTAATTGAGTTTCTTCATGATCTCAGCTGGGACAAAAAGGCAGCAGATATTACTCAAATTTGCTTTTGTTTGTTTATTTTCAATTCATACGAGAGCCCACATTCTATTATTCCTTTTGCAATCTATTAAGAATATTTTTTTTCATAAAAAGAAAATTGGCATTCATACCGCACACCCAACTGATCATCGTGTCAATGAGATCTTTTATCTGTTTGGCCCAGTTGTATTTCATGCTATAAGATTCACGCAAGGTTTCTGCTTGTTCAAGCCGACGAGTCGAGGACAGAAAACAAAAGATTCACCCCTGACTGATTTCTCAATAATTTTACAAAGACATACAGCTGTAACACGACACAGCATGGTTATATTCACACAAGCGACTTTATGCTCGAAACAAGACCAATTCACGCTGAAATGAACCAACCCATACTTATAACACTAGATGTCCATCATCTTCTATAAATCGATCCAAGCTTTAAGGGTAACATCTACGTGAACAGTTGCTTTTCAAGAACCATAAAAGATTGGAACCCTCTAGCAATAAATATCAGGAAGATAGAGACATTTTAAATGCACTGTTTGGGTAGCCTGAAATTCATCCGATTTCTTCGAGTCGTTTTCTCCTCTCAACAACGTCTGAATCGACCGGCCGTTAATGCCGTCCAGTGACGTCCAGTGACGTCACTCACTACCCGAAAACCTGGTGGTGATTTTGATTGGTTCATTGTCTAGACATTCGCATAATTATGTATAATTATGAAAAATTTTAGCAGGATTGTCGCTTAATATTCAGTGGATCGCATCCCTGGCATTCTTTCGTTTAGTTCAAACATTTTGATAAACATTTCATCTTAAACAGCAAAATTGCCCTTGTCTTCGAAACTGAAATGCTAAATTGAACTGCGAATGAAGAATCATTGCGGAGAGTCGGTAGGTTTTTCATTTAGAACCGTTTTGTGGTTTCGGTGGCCGGTGATTTTGTTTATGCGAAGTTTTCTGAGATCAATGTTATAATTTGACCTTCTTGCTATTTTTGCCATCAATTGTAATGATTCTGTTAGCTTTTCTTTCTTCTCTCCTTGTTTTTTTTCTTTGTTAAGGACCAAATAGCTTCTTTTCAATTAAAGCAAATCATTTTGTTTTTGAACTAAGTGTTCCGTGTGTGTGTTTATTTCATTACGTGATTGCAACTGAGTTTGATTATAGAATTTAGTACAACTGGTTCAGAGTTGTACCGCATGCAGTTGATAGTTTGAACGTTAAACATGAATTAAGATCGAAAAAAATAAAGCAGTTATGTATCATGCAGACATTTCCAAACGATATTTCTCGGTTTGCCACTTGAAAATCTTGTTTTACTTTTTGCATTAATTAAAGCAAAGGTCAAGGAGTAGTGACGTCACTGGACGGCATTAACGGCCGGTCGATTCAGACGTTACTGAGGGAGTAATAACGACTCGAAGCAATCAGATGAAATTCATGCTACTGTTTGGGAACAGATTTTATTTTCTAATTATGTAATTCTATTTACTTGATTACCTGATTAATTAATTAATTTTATATATTTGTTTTTTATTTCTTTTTTTTATTATTAACCTTGGCGCGATGGGCAACCTTTGCCAAGTATAGGTATGGGAATAGGTATAGAAATAGAAATTCAAGTTATATAATTATATGAAGGGAATGTTTCTTCAAGGACATCTGTATCAAGCTTCATTTCCTCAAATAAAGTTTCAAAATGCCTGCTCCAAATGCAAACAAACAGCATATACTTGTAAACAATCAACAGCATGTTTATTTCGTAACGCCAAATAATTTTGGGCTTATCTGGCCTGGCTTGATAAAGATCAGCTGTAACATACATGTCCGTAAAATGACAAATCTTTTGCTCTGAAGTTGCGTTCAAGATCCTTGAAAACTTAAGAGAAACAATGGTTTTTTTCTAGTATGAAATTTAGCATGTTCTCTAAAGTTTGAGGTAATCTTTCATAAAATTCGGCTGCTTTTTTCTGCGACAGAACATGATACGCATAAACTTTTTCGTTGCCTAGCACATGACTAAGTACGTCAACGGTGAGATAAAAAAAGATTTTAAATTTTACCTGCCTTTTAAACATGGCATGTTGTTTGGATAAATCACTTTAAAGGGGCTATGTCAGCTGGAGAGCATGCGCTCTGAGGTTATGCAAATTACTTTCAACTGTCAAAATTATATTGTTTTTAACGCGTGACTTTCTCCATGTGCGCTCTGAGCTTATGCAAATTCTTTCAACTGTCAAAATTCTATTGTTTTAAACGCGTGACTTTCTCCATGTTCTCTGTCACGTCCAAGGCTCCGAATTTAGAGAGGTTAACAAGCGAAATGGGTTTGGATAAGGGATATTTCGATAGAATTTACGGAACGTTTCTTCTCTGGTTATGCTAGATTAAGAATAAAATTGTGACGACAATTTTACTTGTACTTTTGGAGTGAAAACGCATGCCATTCATAAAATAGTGCGCAAACAAAAATTCAACAACAACATATTGTCTTATTCAACAAAATAAATCAAAGTTGTATTTTACAAACGAGCTACAAAAGACGCTAGACCGAAGATAAAGACCAAGACTGTTTCAAATAATTAACAATTAGACTTGTCTGTCGCTAGTGATTTTATAATTTAGATGATTGATTGATTGATTGATTCACTTTTATTTGAATACGGTAATTTCATAAGTTACATAACTTCTTTACATGAAAGCCGTATAGAAACAGAAGTAAATACTGTACAACTACACTAAAAATATGTACAAATAATAAAATATAGTAAAATATAGTCAACAGTTTGCCTGCCTACTAGCCAGTTTTCTTTTAAAGATAGCTTTAGATTCGGACGCTTTTATGTCATTTGGTAAAGAATTCCACAGCATTCCTCCTCTGTATGAGAAAGACCCTTATAATATTCTGTTTTTGGAACGTGGTCCAGTACAACATTATATTCCGCATTTCTTAGCATAGACTTATAAGGGTTGTTCTCACAGACATTCGAGAAAAGATCGCTTAAGTAACTAGGTATATTTCCATTCACTGTATCATACATTAATAGACTTAAGTGCCTTTGACGCCTTGAGGCAAGCTCCTCCCAGTTTAGTTGTTTTCGTATTTGCGCTGAACGAACGTCATAACCTTGAAAGGTTATTATGCGTGCAGCACGATTTTGTAATTTCTGGATCCTAGTGGCAAGTCCCTGGTCTAAATTGTCCCAAACAACGTCGCAGTAGTCGAACACATGTACAGGCTGGATAAGAGATTGTTCTAATGTGTCCATAATCGATTTGTGACAATGCATCTGTAGACAGTTGTTC